TTTCATCTCCAGCTTCTCCACCCTTTCCGTGAGGCTCCCCATTTTGCTTTCCAGGTCGTGTTGGCCCCCCATGAGTTCCTCGATCCCCGCCGCGTGCTTGTCCTGCTTGGCCATGAGTTCCTGCAGGAGCTGCAAGGTGGTCTTGAGCTGGCGGGTGACTTCGGTCTCCACCGTGGCAATGCGCTCCACCATCTCCTTCTACACTCCCCCCACAGCTTGCTTAATCTCTGCTCGGTTGGTGCGGAGCTCACCCTGGAGGGTTGCTTGCAGGGTCGCGAGGGTGACCCCCCCTTGTTCTACCACCTCAACTTCCGCCCCCGGCTCTAGGTCCACCACCTTCCTCTTGGCGAGTGATGCCCCCTCACTTGCAGTTGCTCCACTGCCACCAGACATAGTTATCTTTCACAGTGTCGTTGCCCAAGTCACGAACTCTGAGCTGACAAAGTCCCTGGCGGGCTTCGGGATGCGCGGAATCGCCCCCTTGCCGAGCACGTCGCGTAGGCCGCCGATGGCCTTCAGGTAGCAGGTCAAGATGTCCCCCGCACGCCTCAGCGGTGGTAGTGGGAGAGCTCGGCCAGCGCCGGTCACCTCGTGCTTTGTCCCCTCCGGTCTCAAAGTCCCGGGCTTTCGCGGTGCCCCCGCGTAGTGCAGCAAACAGGTAGGTGAGCTCGTATGGCGGGGCACGGGCGCAGGGGCAGAGAAGGCAGCTCTCAGGCCTCCCCCCTTTCTCTCTCTCCCCGTCTCTCTTTTTCAGGTTGTCCCCTGGACAGTGGGCTGGGGCTCGAGCCGCTCGTGGCTTGAGCCAAACTCTCTTTCTCTCTCTCTCTCTCTCTCTCTCTCTCTCTCTCTCCCTCTCCCTCTCCACAACCGCCAAAACCAACAGGCATGGACGGAGGGACCGACTCAAGCAACGAAGCATCAATGTCCGAACGGTGGCGATATCGATCTCTTGAACAACTGGCTCTAGCCCTGTTTGGTGACATCTGCATGACATCTCTAGCTACCCTGTAGATGTCGCCGAAAGCGAACGGGAGTTGTCGGCTATAAGCAAGCAGCACATGTCTCACATGCAACTTTGTCAAAGTCGGCTCATGCTCACGCCTGCGAGCTCGAAAAAACTGAAACCCCCTGCCATCGCATCCAGCACAGGCGCAGCTCCACGCTTTCCCGGAAGTGCGGCAAAGAGCGTGGCATAGTCCGATAGACCCCGGTGCCATGCTGCGTGTAGCCAAACGCCCACCTGATATCTGAGCTCGCAAAAAACCTATTCCAATTGTGGGCACTTTGAAACAGCGGACCATCACGCGGGGTTCGCACTTCAACGTACTTAAGACTTAATGTGTTCATAGTCGTGCTATGGCAGAGCTTGGGGCGATCCGAACTGGGGCAGGACTCCATGTCGTAGCTCCACGAAGCACACGGCTTCATATTACTATAGCGGGACAAGGCATTCACCCCAAAGCCTCTCCCGTCATGTTTCAGTTTAGCTGCTCCTCACTGCCTACTTGTAGCCCCACGTGGAAGGCGCCGCCGAACCTCACCTGAGATGCAGAGTCTCTCAACATGCGCAGCCTTTTGTTGGTTGACTTTTGGAGCATTCACAATATTTCACAATTCAGCGCGGAGCTCTGTGCAACCTTTGCTTGCGTGTGCCTGGCTGGAAAACCCTACCCTGCACGGGCTTGCAAGGGCTTTCAAACATGCGCAAAAGAAATTTGCATAAGACTGCGATTGAAAAGGCGAAATAAATCAATCACAACATCTTGGACCAGGTCACCGGTGCGTAGTAGTTGGCAAACACGCTGTTGAGCCACTGTGCCTGGAACAGGTGGAAAAGAAAAGGCTTGAACCGGCATTGTTCTTAAGCCTCAGCCTCACATTCATGCAGAAACCTGAACGAGGCGCGCGTCAGAAGAACTTAATTTGATGCCCGGGCACGTCGGCCGCAACATCGTAGATATTCAAGAAGACTGGGGTGGCTGGCGTTTCCCTGCGTGTGCTGAGAAACCGGCGCCTGGGCTCATCATGACGGTCCATCTCTTCTGCAGGTCGCGCTCTATTGCTGCCGAAGTACGGAGCGCTGCACATCACCTAGCAAGCTGCAGCAAGTTGCAAGGCGAGAGAGAGAGAGAGAGAGAGAAAAAAAAAAAACAAAAGAGAGAGAGAGAGAGATAACAAACCACATCGGAAGAACGAAAATAAACAGAAATTCAAACAAGGACAAACAGGTAAATACCTCTCAGGAAGCACGTTTTTGTTTGCTTTGGACTCTGCGATCCATTCGCCGAGATTTTGCCGCGCTTCTGGCTCGGCAAAATCTCGACAACTTTCCAGCGTCTAATCATCTTGAACGTCTTTGATGTGGCGGAGAACGTGCTTCGGCATCCATCTAAGTGCATTTACCGTGCCCCCGAAAATTGGAACCAGCAGTGGAAGTGAGTTTTGGGACGTGGAGGCTCGTTGGAGGCCTTGGCTAACACCAAAGGCTTGCCAGCGTCAGCAGGGCGTGCAAGCCTTCAGTGGATTTGTTGTCTGTGCTCGCTGCACCACAGCCCAAAACTTCCAAAAGGTCTGAGAAGGGGGAAAGGAGACCAGAAAATGGCTTGCTTGCTACTGCCGGCTAGAGGCGAACTAAGATACGAGAGCAGAAATATCGACCTGGCACAAAACGACTCGTACTCTGAGTCACCCTCGGTCTGACTCAGCGTCCAGGTATTGCTGGCTTGAGTGCGTCGCGTCACAACATGAACCCCGGCTGTCGAGCCGGGGGGGGAACATGCTGCATGTCTCGAACTCGTCATGCCGAGGCAGAAGTGCAGGAAATCTCTGCAGCGTCCAAAAGGAAGGAACAAAACGTTTTCCAAAGCTCTCCTTTTTTTGCGGAAATTTGGTGAGGGTGGAGGGATTGAGGTTTCGGGTGGGGAGGGAGCTAGGGCTGGTCATCGGGGGTCTAAACTTTCTTTGGGGTTTAGGCTTTAGGGTTTCGGTGCAGGACGCCTTCTCCGCTGGGATCTCTTCCTCAAGGTTGAACGGACCTTCTGCCTGCGGTTTTCGGGTTCCAGGCTTAAAGGGTTTGGGACTCAGACCATTGAGCGGAAGAGGTTCAGACACCGGAGAGCCAGTCCAAACTTGTGTGCTTTTTGGGGTTCAAAGTTTAGGGTTCAGCATTTGGGGTTTCAAGGTTTTTGGGCTTAACATGTTGCGCCAGAGACTGGACCTCCATGTCCTTTAACCCTAAACCATGAAACCTGAACCCCAAACCCTGGAACCCTGAAACCTGAACCCGCACCCTAAAATATCTGAACCCTGAATCCTGAATCCTAAGCCTGAGCCCTAAGCCTCAAAGGGGAAAGAGCGTATCCAACTACCCGGCCTCTATCATCGCGGAACTGACCCTGCCAAGGCCTGAAAAGCCTGGGCAGACCTCAGGCCAACATTCATCAAGGTAGCAAAGCCTGGTGCCAATGAGACATCTCAGATGACGAGGGGCTGTGATGAAGTGGCGGATCTCTACCAGCACCCTCAGGGCATTCGGCAGTATGTTCCGCGCATATTCGTGCACGCTCGGCAAGCTGCATGTACGTCTCTTTGCACACTGGAGCCATTTCGGGGTCGGAGATCATGATTTGGCATGAACTGGGCATTGCATTTCCAACCCTGTAGAACACTTGAACAACTCCACGCGGCATTCATCCTTGAGATGTTGACGCCAGTTGAGGAATCGAAAAGATGATTAGGTCTGACATCAGAATCGTTGCAAGAAAACTAGCGCCAGCCAGGTCTCCCGATGGGTAGATCCTGGAGCGCCGTCATGGATTTGTCCTGGCAACTGCGGAGCCCATCCCAGTACCCATGATGGCCCATACCAATTGCCCACGCATGGCAATTATATGGCCTTGTTCCATGATTACAGTCAAAGCTTGGTGCTGTCCTCCGGAAATAGAGCTTAGGGAACTCCCCTACACCAAATAAATGGTGTGGAAGAACACACACACAAATGCATGAAATGGAGCGTGTCACATGATGTCTAAACAGTTTGAACAAGACCACCAACAGGGCATGCCATCATCTCAAAGCTTTGGGGTGCTTTGCGACTCGGAACTTGACACAGAGTGCGCTCAACGTGTTTCACACGCACGTCCGCGGAGTATGGACCCTCTATTCAAGGGTTCTTCGGCTTTAACGTCATGACTGACGTCTTCAAAGGCATGCTGCTTTCACTCGCCACTCAATCCAAGTGTTTCACAACGTTTCAACATCATTAAGCTCTCTGTACCGCCCAGTTCTCTTCCCACATTGGTCACTCGCGCCTCCTCCACCTCCTCTGCCGCGCCGATCACCTCCTCACGTTTGCAAGGGCACGAGCAGAGAAATCTCGTGGTCCAGTGGTCCAGGCATGTCTTTTGGCTGTAGACATTAGGGGCCCTACACTGTATCATGGCACGGAGCACTGCCTTTGCAACCCATGCATACAGTCCTCTGGCAGTGAAGCCCCATCCTCGCTGGATGCTTCCTTGACCTGCCCCAAGAATTGCGGGGAGCCCCATGTCTGGAGGGCAAAAAAATGTTTCACAGGAGGCATGGCAACCAACTCCAGAAACCCGAAGCAGTGGCAGAACAAACTCTGTTGCTTCAGGCTTGTATCGGCTGCACCGCTCATGTTCGTCCACAACAGCTCCATGCCTCAGCCAGAATCTCTGAGAAAGCCGCGCCAAACGGGCAGCAGACCTGACGGGCGAGGAAAAAATCCACTTAGGGGATCCAGAATGCTGCTGGAAGCAACTTTCATGTTTTCACAATAACCCTCGGTGTAACATGAAGCACTTCGATGGAAATTTTGGAACACCATGCCTCGGGGTCAGCCCACAGCCAGCGGAAACACTCCATCGGGCGGAGGATGGCTCGGGATCAAACGGTCTACAGTTTGAAGCAGCTGTCTATCAAGGACCGTTGATGCTTCTGTTGACGCCACTTCGCCATCAAACTCCCGCACTACTCAGATGCCGGACTACTCTGCAAAACATCCCCCTCAAGAGGCATTTGAAAGACAAGTCCTGTGGTATGCCAGCGATGAGATACGCCGCGCGCTTCGAACCAGTGCAAATGACTGCAGACCCCTCGATCGCACATCAGTCTGGCCCTCAATAAGCTGTTCAAGCCCACGTACTAACCGCAGGCGATATCTATGTCTTGTGTGCGCGCGCGCGCCTGCCCACCCTTGAACAACAAAAAGAGACGAAGAATCGAAGACCAAGAGTTCTCAAAGCGTTGAGATACTACCGATCCAAGCTCTCTTTATACCACCGATTTCTGCGTAGGGGGGAGAGGGGAGGGATCCCTTGTGAGAAAACCTTTGAGTCTTCATGGCAAGCTCAGCTTGGACAGATTCAGAAACCGATACATGGCAGCGCATTACCGCCGCATTCATGTCGCAGCCCCGCATGATGATTCATCACGATGCAGTCTCGCTCGCCACATCCAAAGAAACAGATACTGCCATCCCGATGTCTCGCTCGAACTCGTCGTGTCGAAAGCTTTGTTGAACTCAAGGGTTAGAAGGTCACAGCGTGTGAGGAGACTGCACATTACTGCTCTCCTCGCATTGCCGAAAGGGCACCATTGACACGCAGCTTGCCAGGTGTCAGCAAACGCACCTCGAAAACGAGAGAAGCGTTGTCGCGCAACTCAGGTGGGCTTTAAAGCACGACCGTGGGTCTCGGAGAGCGCGAAAGTTGTTTTGTTGGTTGCGTTGGTCTTGCTTCGGTTGTCACTGCCAATTGGTGCTTTTGGGCGCAGACGTCGTTCGTACTGAGCGTATAGATGTGAACTCCTCGTTTTCGAAAACACCAGAATGTCAGTGTAATCCCCAAACGCCATATCACCACTCCAAGCATGGGATTGATGGGGCGAGGAGTTGCGCAAAATCAATCCCCATGCGGAAGACATACGAGCGCAAATGGTGCGGAAAAAAATAGAAATGGGGAGTATACACAATCATAATATCGAATCTACATATAACTTCTAATTCGATGAGAATATTCCCAATCTCCAAACTCAATGAGATACATAAGCTCAATCCATCTATGTCTATGTCTTTCTTGACTCCATTTCTATCTATCTCTATTTGTCTTAAGGCATTTATATCATTTTTCTCTCTATTTCTCGTTATATCATATTATATCTCTGTCCATCTGTCTTTTTCAGAAACTCTGTAATTCTATCTCTGTCCTCTATTTATATCTGATCTAATGTCCAAAAGACAGAATAATACATTCACATGACAGTTGTTAATACTAGATCCTTCGAATGATTCAAATCCGAAATTGAATTCGGTATATCTATCATTCAATAGTTTATGAATCACGGGTATCTTGTGGAATAGGAGCATCCTAAACTAGTCAGTGTGAATTTGTGCCATATTCTTATCATATCTTTCTCGCCTTATTACAAGAAGTGGATATGGCATCCCCATTTTTCGCTCGAACTCGTCATGCCGAAAGCAGTTGAAGTCAAGCGTTGGGAAGTAGCAGGGTAAAGCAGCTTGTGTGACATGAGGAGCGCAGACATTGCCGCTCTCCGCGCTTCGCCGAAATTCGCCGAAAGGGCAAGATTGACATGCAGTTTGTCAGGTGCCAGCCTTGTTTAAATTCAAGACGCCACCATCGTTCCAAGAAAGCTAACGCAGCTACTACTGCTCCGGAAGGACGTGCGCAGGAATTGCCGTAACACAGTCCCAAGATCATGATAGGCTTTGCAAACGCTTGGCCGATTGGTTCGACGTAGCTTCCAGGGCAGTAGCGCCAGTGTTCACTTAGTCACAAAGTCATTCATTTCGGGCATTGCTGCGCAACTCAGGCTGCTATCTTTGGCCACCCGAGTGCCGCCGTATTGCCACCAGCAGCGCGGCAAGCGAACCTCGCCGCTGTCCCAGCACGAACCTCAAACAACTAGAAGTACATCAGATCCGAGTGTCAAAAGAACCAACCCTTCATTTTGCCACTTCACTGATGAATCACTCATGGGAACGTAAGCATCTTTCGGAAACCGAGGACAAACACGAAGGAAACATGCCAAGCTGGGACAGTCACGCTTTAGCTGTAAGTAAGTATCAGCAATCAGGTATGGACTGAAGCTGAAGAGAAACGTGGCTGGAAGAATCTGGAAGTCAAATGCCAGAGGTGATCGCGGAAGCCTCGATGAGGCCGATGGCCTCAGCCGGTTGCATTCTGGAGTCTCTCCGTATTGCAGCCAGCTCGACATGATATGAACATGAACCTCCGGTTTGCCCTCGCTTTCCGCTTGCATAAGAACGAACGTCTCAGTGAACAGTGGGCAGTCCGTGCGCAGTCGGCCTCTGCATTCCTTCGGGATTTGTGATTAAGTGTTCGCGGTGAGAAAAGCGAACCGATTCGGTTGCACACCTTGCATTGCGAGAGGCCTGCGCGGCAGCGCATCCCCAATTGGCAAAACCTGAGCGCGCAGCAAGGAGTGCAGATGGAAAGCAACTAGAAGCAGCCTGAGTTGAAACTTCGACCTGCGGCCCTCCGAGACCGGCGGCGTCCCCAAAGATCTGCGACCATGCCCTGAAACCTGACATCTGCAAAGCATCGAAAAACCCTGATCTCTCCCCCTGCTGCTGCGGAAGGGCGGAAGGTCCAGTCTGGCAGATCTCCGGCGCCGAGCAGCAGTGACGCCTTCCAGCTTGACATGTCTTGAGTCTGCAGCAAAACTAGCCAAGCGAAGACGAGACGGAGCCTCGCTGGCGAAGTGACAGCAGTTTCGCTTCAGGAGATGGTACTCGCGCCCGGGCCACTGAGCCACCTGACAGAAAGCAAAAACATCACAACATGCCAGAATTTCCACTCCACTGCCCCAACATATCCCCAAGCCAATGTGCAACAGAGCTTCTAACAAATTGTAGATTTGCGCAATCGTCTCCTCGGGCAGCTGCGTCGGAGTCCTCAGCCCACAAACAACTCCAGAACTGGCGGATCTGCTGCTGGGCGGATGTCGCTGCGCGCCAACTCCATCACTCTCAAGTGCACGCTTCGCTTCTGAGATCTCTGGCTTGCTGTCACGCTCACTCCCCCAGACTACAATTACCTCCGAATCCACAAGCCATGCGTACGCTGCTGTAGCTCACGCTCTCTCCACAACCGCCAAAACCAGAAGGCATGGACAGAGGGACCGACTCGATCAAGGAAACATCGATGCCCGAACGGTGGCGATATCGATATCTTGGGCAACAGGTGTGGTGACATCTGCATGACATCTACGTAGCTACCCTGCAGATGTCGCCAAAAAGCGAACGGGAGTTGTCGGCTATAAGCAAACAGCACATGTCTCACATGCAACTTTGTCAAAGTCGGCTCATGCTCACGCCTGCGAGCTCAAAAAAACTGAAACCCCCTGCCATCGCATCCAGCACAGGCGCAGCTCCACGCTTTCCCGGAAGTGCGGCAAAGAGCGTGGCATAGTCCGATAGACCCCGGTCCCGTGCTTCGTGTAGCCAAACGCCCACCTGATATCTGAGCTCGCAAAAAACCCATTCCAAACCTGATGAAGGGAAATGGAGTGCAAACACACCCGTTGTGGGCGCTTTGAGGCTTTGAGATGGCGGACCCTCAGGCGGGGTTTGCACTTCAACGTACTCTAATTGTGCTTTGGCTTTGCTGGGGGCGATCCGAACTGGGGCAGTAGTTCCACGAAACACACAGCTTCACATCACTACAGCCGGACAAGGCATTCGCCCCAAAGCCTCTCCCGTCATGTTTCAGTTTAGCTGCTCCTCACTGCCTACTTGTAGCCCCACGTGGAAGGCGCCGCCGAACCTCACCTGAGATGCAGAGTCTCTCAACATGCGCAGCCTTTTGTTGGTTGACTTCTGGAGCATTCACAATACTTCACAATTCAGCGCGGAGCTCTGTGCAGCCTTTGCTTGTGTGCGCTGCGTTTCGCTGCGTGCGCCCAGCTGGAAAAACCCTACGGCTCCACTGCCGTAGCTGCACGGGATGTCACGGGCTTCCAAATATGCGCAAAAGACATTTGCATAAGACTGCGATTGAAAAGGCGAAATGAATCAACCACAACGTCTTGGACCAGGTCACCGGTGAGTAGAAGTTGGCAAACAAGCCGTTGAGCCATTGTGCCTGGAACAGGTGGGGCTTGGAACCCGAAAAAAAGAGACTTGAACCGGCATTGTTCTTGAGCCTCAGCCTCACATTCACGCAGAAACCTGAACGAGGCACGCGGCACATGAACTTAATTTGATGCCCGGGCACGTCGGCCGCAACGTCGTAGACGTTCAAGAAGACTGGGGTGGCTGGCGCCCTGCGTGTGCTGAGGAACCGGCGCCTGGGCTCATCATGACGGTCCATCTCTTCTGCAGGTCGCGCTCTATTGCTGCCGAAGTACGGAGCACTGCGCACCACCTAGCAAGCGACAGCAAGCTGCAAGGAGAAGAGACAGAGAGAGAGGAAAAAAAGGGAGCATCTCCAGCCGGCTTTCCCTGATATCGAGGGGTTTGGTGAGGGTTGAGGGATTGTGTCGGGCAAAAAGGTTCAAGTGAGGGTGTTTGGGGTTTCGGATGGGGAGGGTGGGAGTTCGGGCTTGGTCATCGGGGGTTATACCTTAAGCCCTGAAGCCGAAAAAGCTCTTTGGGGTTCAGGGCTGAAGCGGCTGCCTTCTCCTCTGGGATCTCGTCCTCGAAATTGAAGGAAGCTTCTGCCTGCAGTTTTCGGGTTCCAGGCTTAGACAGAGGAGTTAGGCCTCAGACCATTCAGCGGAGGTTCAGACAGAAGAGCGCTCGTCCAATTTTTTGTACCTTTTGGGGTTTAGGTTCAACGTTTTCAAGTTTAGGGGGTTTAAGGGGTTTCAAGAAAGCAAGCAATAGAGCACCCACCTACCCGAAGGCTGCACCACAGCCCAAAACTTCCCAGGGGTCTGAGAAGGGGGGAAAGAGACCAGATCTTTTTTTGCTTGTTAAAAATGCCTGCCGGCGAGAGGCGAACGAAACACGACGGCAGAAATAACGACCTGGCACAAAAGCACGACTCGTACTCTGACTCACCCTCGGTCTGACTCAGCGTCCGGGTATTGCTGGCTTGAGTGCGTCGCGTCACGACATGAACCCCGGCTGTCGAGCGGGTGAAAAATGCCACATGTCTCGAACCTAGTCATGCCCGAGCCAGAAGTGCAGGAGATCGTCCGAAAGGAACGAAACGTTTTCCAAAGCTCTCCTTTATCTTGCGGAAATTTGGTGAGGGTGGAGGGATTGTGTTGGGCGTGAATTGAGGTGAGGACTTCGGGTTTGAGGTTTCGGATGGGGAAGGTGGGAGTTACGGCTGGTCATCGAGGGGTTAACCTTAAGCCGTGAAGCCCAACAGACTTTCTTTGGGGTTTAGGCTTAGGGTTTTTTGGTGCAGGACGCCTTCTCTGCTGGGATCTCGTCCTCAAGGTTGAATGGACCTTCTACCTGCGGTTTTCAGGCTCCAGGCTTAAAGGATTTAGGGTTCAAACCATTGAGCGGAAGAGGTTCAGACACCGGAGAGCTAGTCCAAATCAGTGTGCCTTTTGGGGGTTTTCAGCGTTTGGAGGGGTTTGAAGGTTTTGGGGCTTATGTCGAGGGTTGACGGGGCCGGTCAGGTTTTGGGGGCTTGAATGCCTATTTGCAATGGGGCTTTCATCGCACAAGCTACGCGCACCTTACAACCCTCAACCCAAGACATGTTGCGCCAGAGACTGGACCCATGTCCTTAAACCCTAAACCATGAAACCTGAACCCTAACCCTGGAACCCTGAAACCTGAATCAGAGCCCTAAAATTTCTGAACCCCGAATACTGAATCCTAAGCCTGAGCCCTCAGCCTTCTTCCAGAGGGGAAAGAGCGCATCCAACTACCCGGCCTCCATCATCGTGGAACTGACCTTGCCAAGGTCTGAAAAGCCTTGGCTGACCTGAGGCCAACGTTCATCAAGGTAGCAAAGCCTGGTGCAAATGAGACATCTCAGATGACGAGGGGCTGTGATGAAGTGGCGGATCTCTATCAGAAGCCTCAGGGCATTCGGCAGTATGGTCCGCGCGTATTCGCGCACGCTCGGCAAGCTGCATGCACGTCTCTTTGCACACTGGAGTCGGAGATCGTGATTTTGGCATGCAGTGGGATTGCATTTCCAACCCTGTAGAACACTTGAACAACTCCACGCGGCATTCATCCTTAAAACGTTGACGCCATTCGAGGAATCGAAAAGATTAATCGGTCTGACATCTGAATCGTTGCAAGAAAACTAGCGCCAGCCAGGTCTCCCGATGGGTAGATCCTGGAGCGCCGTCATGGATTTGTCCTGGCAACTGCGGAGCCCATCCCAGTACCCATGATGGCCCATACCAATTGCCCACGCATGGCAATTATATGGCCTTGTTCCATGATTACAGTCAAAGCTTGGTGCTGTCCTCCGGAAATAGAGCTTAGGGAACTCCCCTACACCAAATAATGGTGTGGAAGAACACACACAAATGCATGAAATGCAGCGTGTCACATGATGTCTAAACAGTTTGAACAAGACCACCAACAGGGCATGCCATCATCTCAAAGCTTTGGGGCGCTTTGCGACTCGGAACTTGACACAGAGCGTGCTCAACGTGTTTCACACGCACGTCCGCGGAGTACGGACCCTCTATTCAAAGGTTCTTCGGCTTTAATGTCATGACTGATGTCTTCAACGGCATGCTGCTTTAACTCGCCATCTCAATCAAGTGTTTCACAGCGTTTCAACATGATTAAGATCTTTGTACCGCACAGCTACTTTTCCCACATTGGTCACTCACGCCTCCTCCACCTCCTCCGCTATGCTGCTCGCCTCCTCACGTTTGTAAGAGCACGCGCAGAAAAACTCGTGGTCTAGCATGTCTTGGTTGTAGACATTCGGGGCAACACTGTATCATGGCTGCCTTTGCGACATACGCATACAGTCCTCCGGCAGTGAAGGCCCATCCTCGCTGGATGCTTCCTTGACCTGCCAAGCAGACATCGCAACCAACTCCGGAAACCGGAAGCCGTGGCAAAACAAACTCGGTTGCTGCAAGCTTGCATCGCCTGCACCGCTCATGCTTGCAATCCACAACAGCTCCATGCCTCAGCCAGGATCCTTGCAAAGGCTGCGCCAAACGGGCAGCAGACCTGTCTTGACGGGAACAAAAAGCCCTGACGGGCGAGGAAAAAATCCACTTAGGCTGCTGGAAGCAACTTTCATGTTTTCAAAATAACCCTCGGTGTAACTTGAATCACTTCGATGGAAACTTCAGAACACCTTGCCTCGGGTTCCGCCCACAGCCAGCGGAAACACTCCATCGAGCGGAGGATGGCTCGGGATCAAACGGTCTACAGTTTGAAGCAGCTCTCTATCAAGGACCGTTGATGCGTCTGTTGACGCCACTTCGCCATCAAACTCCAGCACTACTCAGATGCCAGACCACTCTGCAAAACATCCACCTCAAGAAGGCATTGAAAAGCCAAGTCCTGTGAACTGTACCAACAGCTATGCCAGCGATGAGATACGCCACGCGCTTCGAACCAGTGCAAATGACTGCAGACCACTCGATCGCACCTCAGTCTGGCCCTCAAGAAGCATTTCAAGCCCGCGTTCTCAGATGCAGCGCAGGCGATATCTATGTCTCGTGTGCGAGCGCCTGCCCACCTGCGCCTGTTGACGCACACCTTGCCGTACCCAAAGAAATAGATACTACCGTCCCAATTTCTCGCTCGAACTCGTCGTGCCGAAAGCTTTGTGAACTCAAGGATTAGAAGGTCAGAGCATGTGAAGAGACTGCACATTAGTGTTCTCCATTGAGACGCAGCTTGTCAGGCGTCAGCTATTCACAGATTCAAGATGCCGACATCGTTCCAAGTTGAAAGAATCGCACCCTGAAAGCGAGGGAAGCATTGTCGCGCAACTTGTCAACGGAATCCCCAAATCCCATATCACCACTCCAAGTATGGGATTGATGGGGCGAGGAGTTGCGCAAAGTCAATCCCCACGCGGAAGAGGCACACGAGCGCAAATGGTACAGATAAAACAATCGATGCGGAGTATACACAATCATCGTATTGAATCTATGTATGTATATAACTTCGAATTCGATGAGAACATTTCCAATATCGATCTCTGTCTATCTCTATTTATCTTTAAGCATTTCTATCATTCTTTCTCTCTATTTCTCATTATCTCTATCCATCTGCCTTTTTTCAGAAAATCTGTAATTTTATCTCTGTCCTCTATCTATATCTAATATCCTTCATATGACAATTGTTCATCCTAGGTCCCAGATCCTTCGAAATGATTCAAATCCGAAATTGAATTCGATCTATCTGTCATTCAATAAGTATGAATGTCGGCGTATCTTGTTGAATAGGAGTATCCTAAACTAGTCAGTGCGAATTAGCGCCGTTTTCTTGACATATCTTTCTCGCCTTATCACAAGAAGTGGATATGGCATCCCCATTTTTCGCTCGAACTCGTCATGCCGAAAGCAGTTGAAGTCAAGCGTTGGGAAGTAGCAGGGCAAAGCAGCTTGTGTGACATGAGGAGCGCAGACATTGCCGCTCTCCGCGCTTCGCCGAAATTCGCCGAAGGGGCAAGATTGACATGCAGCTTGTCAGGCGCCAGCCTTGTTCAAATTCAAGACGCCACCATCGTTCCAAGAAAGCTAACGCAGCTACTACTGCTCCGGAAGGACGTGTGCAGGAACTGCCGTAACACAGTCCCAAGATCATGAGAGGCTTTGCAAACGCTTGGCCGATTGGCTCGACGCAGCTTCCAGGGCAGTAGCGCCAGTGTTCACTTAGTCACTAAGCCATTAATTTCGGGCATTGCTGGGCAACTCAGGCTGCTGTCTTTGGCCACCCGAGTGCCGCCGCATTGCCACCAGCAGCACGCCAAGCGAGCCTCGCCGCTGTCCCAGCACGAACCTCAAACAACTGCACGTACATCAGATCCGAGCGTCAAAAGATCGCACCCTTTATTTGCCAAATCACTGATGCATCACTCATGGAAACTTAAGCAGACTCTTCAGAATCCGAAGGCAAACGCGAAGGAAACATGCCAAGCTTGGACACTCACGTGTTAGTTGTAGGCATCAGCAATCAGGTATGGACTGAAGCTGAAGAGAAACGCGGCTGGAAGAATCTGGGAGTCAAATGCCAGAGGTCACCGTGGGGGTCTCGATGAGGCCCATGGCCTCAGGCGGTTGCATTCTGGAGTCTCCTCGTGTTGCTGCCAGCGCCACATGATATGAACATCAACCCGACCGGCAGTTGACCCTAATGCGCATTGAAGCTGCTGCTTTCCGCTTGCATAAGAACGAACGTCTCAGTGAACAGTGGGCAGTCCGTGCGCAGTCGGCCTTTGCATTCCTTCGGGATTTGTGATTAAGTGTTCGCGGTGAGAAAAGCGAACCGATTCGGTTGCACACCTTGCATTGCGAGAGGCCTGCGCGGCAGCGCATCCCCAATTGGCAAAACCTGAGCGCGCAGCAAGGAGTGCAGATGGAAAGCAACTAGAAGCAGCCTGAGTTGAAACTTCGACCTGCGGCCCTCCGAGACCGGCGGCGTCCCCAAAGATCTGCGACCATGCCCTGAAACCTGACATCTGCAAAGCATCGAAAAACCCTGATCTCTCCCCCTGCTGCTGCGGAAGGGCGGAAGGTCCAGTCTGGCAGATCTCCGGCGCCGAGCAGCAGTGACGCCTTCCAGCTTGACATGTCTTGAGTCTGCAGCAAAACTAGCCAAGCGAAGACGAGACGGAGCCTCGCTGGCGAAGTGACAGCAGTTTCGCTTCAGGAGATGGTACTCGCGCCCGGGCCACTGAGCCACCTGACAGAAAGCAAAAACATCACAACATGCCAGAATTTCCACTCCACTGCCCCAACATATCCCCAAGCCAATGTGCAACAGAGCTTCTAACAAATTGTAGATTTGCGCAATCGTCTCCTCGGGCAGCTGCGTCGGAGTCCTCAGCCCACAAACAACTCCACCGAACTGGCGGATCTGCTGCTGGGCGGATGTCGTTGCATGTCATCTCCATCACTCTCAAGCGCTCGCAGCGCTTCTGAGATCCCTGGCAATCACCTTCTCGTTTGCTGCCACGCTCACTTTCCCAAGCTACAACTACCTCCGAATCCACAAGCCATGCGTACGCTGTCGGCTAAGACTAAGAGCAAGCAGCACATATCTCACATGCAACTCTGTCAAAGTCGGCTCATTCTCACGCCTGCGAACTTGCAAAGCTGAAAACCTGCCATTGCACCCAAACCTTGCCATTGCATACAGCACAGGCGCAGCTCAACGCTCTCCCGGAAGTGCGGCAAAGAGCGTGGCATAGTCCGATAAACCCCAGTGCCGTGCTGCGTGTAGCCAAAGGCCCACCTGATATCTGAGCTCGCAAAAACCATTCCAAACGTGATGAAGGAAAATGGAGGGCAAGCACACCCATTGAGGGCACTTTGAATTTTTTGGACCATCATGCGGGTTCGCACTTCAACGTACTTCATGTGTTCACAGTCGCGATGTGGCAGAGCTTGGGGCGAGCCGAATTCGAGAAGGGCTCCACGTCGTAGCCCCACGAAGCACACGACTTCACATCACTACAGCCGACAACAACACGAACAAACGCATTCCTCCCAAAGCCTCTCCCGTCATTCTTCAGTTTAGCTGCTCTTCACTACCGACTTGTAGCCCGGTGTGGAAGGCGCCGCCGAACCTCACCTGAGACGCAGGGTCTCTTCTTTTGGAGCATTCACAATTCAACGCGCAACTCTGCGGAGCCTATGCTTGTGTGCGCTGCGTGCGCCTGCCTGGAAAACCCTTCGCCTCCGCTGCCGTAGCTGCACGGGCTGAAGATACGTAGTGGCAAAAATGATCACAACGTCTTGGACCAGGTCACCGGCGCATAGTAGTTGGCAAATAGGCTGTTGAGCCACTGTGCCTGGAAGCGACCAATGAAGCTGCAACTTGCGCAGATGGGGTTGGCTGAGAACCCGAAAAACAAAGAACTTTTGGACCGGCATTGTTCTGAAGCCTCAGCCTCCACCCGCATGCGACTGCTGCACATCCACGCAGCTAGGTCAACTAGGCACACGATAAATGAACTTAGATTGATGCCCGAGCACAGTGTCCGCCACATCATAGATGTTAAGCAGAATTGGTGTAGGCCCCCGTCGTGCACTCAGACGAAGGCACCTGGAAGTGGTGCTCTTCGGCTGGGGTTGCGAAACAACGCTGTCAAAGTCAACTGCAAGGCTTCAAGACGGGCGACGAGTGATAGTTGTAGTAGGTCGCTCACGGTTTGCAATCGCTTTTAGCTTCAGATACTGCTTAGAGACTAAGTAAAGCCACACACAGTGTTTCGAATTGGGCCGGCGCTGCTACAGCAGAGAGTGGGAACAGATGGCACATGCATTCGCTTCTGTGCTGTTGTGCCAGGATACTGAACAGCAAGAGCTCATCCATGGCATGTTATGGCCCTTGTGCGCTACAATACAGTGCATCCAATACATTATAATCCATTGCAATACTGTGCTAACACTTCTTCGGCGCGGAGCCTACTACAAAAACCCCAACGCAAGGAGACCCGAGTTAAGAGCGAGGGAACGACATGAAGGAACAGGAAAACGCGGTGTGTTGCCTCGGCAGCCCGGCCGGCCCAGTGCATCTGACCTGTAGAGATGCAGAGCCGATCCGTAACCCCGAAACTTTGAACCAGCAGTGGAAGTGAGCTTGAGGGCGTATAGGCTCGTTGGAGGATTTCGGAAGCTTCGCTTGCCTCTGCTTGTTCTAGATGCCTGCCGGCTGGAGGCGAACTAAACCCTTCCCTTGTTCCAGAAGATTCCCAAAAAAGGAGCGTATCCAGCCGGCTTTCCTTTGTTTCGAGGGGTTTGGTGAGGGTTGAGGGATTGTGTTGGGCATAAAGGTTCAATTGAGGGTGTTTGAGGTTTCGGATGGGGAGGGTGGGAGTTCGGGCTTGGTCATCAAGGGTTTTACCTTCAGCCCTGAAGCCGAAAAGGCTCTTTGGGGTTTCGGGCTGAAGCGGTTGCCTTCTTCTCTGGAATCTCTTCCTCGGTATTGAAGGAAGCTTCCACCTGCGGTTTTCGTGTTCCAGGCTTCGACAGAGGAGTTAGGCCTCTGACCATTTCGCGGAAGAGGTTCAGACAGAAGAGCGCCAGTCCAAATTAGTGTGCCTTTTGGGGTTTAGGTTCAAGTTGTGTTCAGGTTTAGGGTTTTTGAACATGTTAGGTTTAGGGTTTAAGGGGTTTGGGGTTTAGGGTAAAGGGTTTAAAAGGGGCGGAGAATGTTTTCGTGAATTGCTTTGGGGGTTGGTAGGAAAACCTTTATCTTCTCTACTTTAGGAGAAAAACCTCTGTTTTCATCATTTCTTGTAAAAGAAAATCTGAAAAATCTCTATGCCTATGTTGTATCGCCTGTGCATTTTACTGGAATTCGTACTAATTTGCATTGGATTCGCATAAATTTGGACTCGCATTGATTTGGTCAATCTCTCCCCAGTAAAAAGGGTGTGGAAAGCATTCCGCCGTTTTTCATGCAAGTTCTCTTCTGGGCTTTTTTTTCAAAGCGGCGGGGAGGGGGGGGGGTTCGGGGGAGGAGTTGCGCACAAGCATAGTGCTCGCAGGACGGGTGTGGAATGGTAATAATGTTTCCTACCCCCTCCCCAACCCTCCAAACCAAGATTCGCAACTAAACGTCGTGAAAAACACACACCCTCCGTTTAGAAGGTTTAGGGTGCAGGGCTTATGCGAGTTTACGCCTGCCTCCATCATGATGGTGCTGACTTGGCCAAGGGCCGAGTAGCCTTGGTGGACCTGAGGCCGGCCCCAATGCGTTAAGGCGTTAATCAAGCTATCGACTCAGGGAAGCCTGGTGCACATGACCATCTCAGATGACAAGGGGCTGTGACAAAGTCGCGGATCTCAATCAGTAGCCTCGAACACGATTGCATTTCCAGCCCTTTATTGAACAATTCAACTCAACACAAAACTCATCCTTAATGTAAACCCCATTCGGGGAATCGAAAAGATGAACAGGGTCTGACATCTGAATCGTTGCAAGAAAACTAGCGCCAGCCAGGTCTCGCGATGGGTAGATCCTGGAGCACCGTCATGGAGATGTCCTGGCAACTACGGAGCCCATCCCAGTACCCATGATGGCCCATTCCCATTTGCCCATGCATGGCAATTATATGGCCTTGTTCCATACGGTTAAACGGTTAAACTTAAACGGATATCGATTTCAGAACTCGCCTACATACATGGCGTGGAAGAATCAACACAAGCCCATGAAGCGAAGTGTGTCAGGTGATGTCTAAACATCTTGAAGAAGACTACCAACAGGGCTTGCCATCATCTCAAAGCTTTGGGGCGCTTTGCGACTCGGAACTTGACACAGAGTGCGCTCAACGTGTTTCACAAGCATCCACAGAGCACTCTACTCCATTCAGGCACTATGCGGCTTTAGAGTCATGACTGACGTCATCAAGGGCTGCTGTTTCTTCAACTCGCCATCTCAATCCAAGTGCTTCACAACGTTTCGACATCATCGGTCACTCGCGCCTCATCGGGCACTCGCGCCTCCTCCACCTCCTCTGCCACGCCGCTCACCTCCTCATATTTTTGAGGGCACATGCAGAAAAACTCGCGGTCTAGGCATGTCTTGGCTGTAGACATTAGTTCATTAGGGGCAAACACTGTATCATGGCACGGAGCACTGCCTTTGCGACCCACCCATACAGTCCTCAGGCAGTGAAGCCACATCCTCGCTGGATGGGCCTTCTGCTGCCTTGACCTGCCAAGCATTGCAGCATGTCTGGAGAGCGACGGCTTCACGACAGACATCGCAGCTACCTTTCGCGAACCACCTCCGGAAACCCGACGCAGTGGCAAAGCAAGCTCTGTTGTTGCAGGCTTGCATCGCCTGCGCCCGCGCATGTTTAATCCGCAACAGCTCCCTGCCTCAGCCAGGATCCTTGCAAAGGTTGCGCCAAACGGGCAGCAAACCTGTCTTGATGGGAAAGAGCGCGCATGGGAACATGTGCACTTCGGGCTTCAGAATGACGCTTTCAAGCAATCCAACCTTTCATACTTTCACGTTTTCAACATAGCCATCGGTGGAACTTGAAGCTCTTCTAAGGCAATCTCAGAACACCGTGAGCCTCCGGTTTGGCCCACAACCAGCGGAGACACTCCATCGGGCGGAGGAAACACTCCATCGGGCGGAGGATGGCTCGGGATCAAGAGGCCTAAAGCCTGAAGCAGCTTTATCAAAGACCGTTGATACTTCCGTTGACGCCTCTTCGCCATCAAACTTCCGCACTACTCAGACGACGATCACGTTGCAAAACATCTACCTCAAGAAGGCATCTAAATCTAAAAGCCAAGTCCTATGAACTGTACAACAGATACGCCAGTGATGAGAGCCTCCACGCGCTTCGAAACAGTGCAAATGACTGCAGACCTCTCCATGGCAGGTTTGTCAGTCTGCAGGTGTGGATAGATGTGTCTTGAATGTGCGCCTGCCCACGTGCGTGTGTTGATGCACGGCTTGCCTTACTTCTTCAACCCAATAAGCGCCGAATCCCGGATTCGTGCATGAAAGTCCCCCGCCATCCCCGGTTCCCTCCGGATCTTAGGGTGGGGGGAAGGCGGATCCTTTGTAAACAAGTCGTATCAAGTCGTTGAGTCTCCGACCCCATGACACATTCCAAACGGCGGAGGAGCTCTGAAATATCCATGATGCAAAAAAACAATGATGAGCTTGCACGGCCGCCGGCAATCCTCATTGCGAATCGATTTAATCCATCCTGTGCTCTCGGAAACCAATGCTTCATATTTTCCGAGGTTGAGAGCATTGCACAATAAAGCATTAGAGTGGACGTGTCTTATGGAGCTCGCAAGCCCAACTTGGGCAGATTCAAGAACCGTTAAGGAGTCAGCACAGTACCGCCGTATTCTTATCGCACCCAGCATTGTAGCTCATCATGATTCATCTTTTTCGCTCGAACTCGTCGTGCCGGGTGCTTTTGTTGAACTCAAGGATTAGAAGGTCACAGCGTGTGAGGAGACTGCACATTGCTGCTCTCCTCGCTTTGCCGAAAGGGTACGATTGACACGCAGCTTGTCAGGTGCCAGCTGTTAACAAATTCAAGATGCCGTCGTCGTTCCAAGAACGCCACAGCTCTGCAAGGACTTGCGCAAGAATGGCCACCTTTTATTTCGGAAAGAACAGCAGCTTGAAAACAAGAGCCTGATGCATTGGTATCATGAGCTAAAATGCTAGCCTTTGCAATGAGGAGTGATTGGCCAGTTGGCTTCAACGCAGCTTCCAGGGCAGTGGCCCTGATGCATTGTCGTGCAACTCAGGCTGCTGTCTTTGGCCGCCTAAGTGCCGCATTGCCGCCCTTCAACCTCACCTCACCAGAAGAAGCACAGCCTTGGACAGCACATCAGATCCAAGTTTAGGGTTTAGGGTTTAGGGTCTAGGGTCTAGGGTTTAGGGGATCAAAAAGATCACGTCCCGCTAATGAACTGTACCGGCCCTCGAGCGTGGGAACGCCAGCAAGAAGAAGACGGAACAGAAAAACGCCAAGCTTGGAGCAAATGGGTTGGTTTTCAATGAAACAGGTCTGGATCTGCACGCCGAACTCCGGAACAGGACCAGGATCTGAAAGATTAGAGATGTCCGGCCTAACTTGAAAAACCTATCTGCCTGCACCACCTCAAGGACGGCCAGAGAAAAGCAGCTTGATCTAGTTTGGCACATTTTGCTGACTGGCGTGTGGGGTACATGTTCACTGTTCGTAACTCCATGACGTATAGGGCTAAATGCAGGTGCCGTGAAGCTGAAGAACAGAAACGCGGCTGGAAGCCCCAAGAAGTCAGATGCCAGAGATCACTGCGGAAGTCTCGAGCAGGCCGATGGCCTCAGCAGGTTCCATTCTGGCCGGTTGGATTCTCCCAGTTTGCAGCCTAACACGAACTCTACGAACATCCACAAGGACCAGCCCTCCGGCCGTTCTCCTTCATACGAAGGGCATCGACATGGTTTACCCTTCGTTTTCCCAGCTACTGCTGTTGATTACAGCTTTGAGTCTGAGCTTCATCTACAAGAACGACTCAGTGAGGAGGGGGTATCCAGCTCCTTCGTTCCTTCATTCCTTTTCGACAAGATTATCGGGCGCTATCGGGCGTGTTGTGATTGGGTGGTCGCCGTGGAAGAAGCGAACTGCTTCGGCTGCACACCTTGCATTGCGAGAGGCCTGAGCGGCAGCACAACCCAGATCGGCAAAACCTGAGCTCGCAGAGTTGAAACTTCGACCTGCCCATGCCCTGATATCTGAAATCTGCAAAGCATCGCAAAACCCCTGATCTCCTCTACTGCTGCTGAAGGGCGGAAGGTCCACTCTGGCAGATCTCCGGCGCCCAGCAGCAGTGACACCTTCCAGCTTTGTAATGTCGTGATGGGGTTTACAACAGCTAGACTAAGTGGAGACGAGACGGAGCCTCGCTTGCGAAATGGCAGCAGTTGCGTTGCAGGAGGTTGTACTCGCAACCAGGCCACTGCTGCGCCTAAGCTGCAACACCACAATCGAGCTGTCCATTCCGCGGCCCCAAAAAAACCCACAAGATCCCACAAGCCAATGTATTCAATGTGCAACGGAGTCTCTAAAAAATAGTAAAGCCGTGCAATCTCCTGCTCCGAAAGTTTTGTCGGAATCCTCAGCTCGCAAGCAAAACGCTGCTGCAGCGCGGATGTCGTGCCACGCCACTCTCAAGCACATGCTTCGCTTCTTAGATGGAAGTAAGCCCTGCGGTGCCAGGCTCATATGTCGACAATTACATGATCGGTTGCCTGTCCAGCTGACTCCCCCACAATCTTACAGGAGCAGGATGTCCATTCCCTCCAAATTCACAAGCCATGCGTAGGCTGCCGGAATTTACCCTCTCCCTTTCTTCAACAGCCATCAACCACTAATCGGAAAGCGGGAAACCTCCCAAGCCATAAGGCAAGGCAGAAAAAAGGGACCGACTCAACAAAATGAACATCGATGCCCGAATTATTGTGGCATCTTTTTTGAGGAGATGGCTCTTGCTCTGTTAAGTGGCATCTGCATGACACTCGACGCCTCTACATCGCTACGTGGTAGATGTCACCGAAAGTGCCATGAGTAGTCGGCTATGCACCAGTTGCCAGTTCATGACACCACTCATGCAACTTCGCCAAATGCTCACGCTCACAACCTTGCAACACTAAAGCCCATGCCATTTGCATCCAGCACAGGCGCAGCTCGACGCTTTCCCGGTAGTGCGGCAACGAGCGCGGCATCATCCGATAAACCCCAGTGCCGCGCTGCCTGTAGCCATAGGACCACCTGAAGTCTGAACTCGCAAGAGCCCATTCGAAGAAAGGGGGAATCAGATCAACTGTTGGCATTTTGAGACGGCAGACCATGGCCGTCTGGCATTTGGGGCAGGGCTCCATGTTGCAGCTCAACTACGATGCAAGACTTCACATCACTACAGCCGGAAGCAAGAAGCACGAGCCATTCGCCCCAAAGCCTCTCCTGTCTTCAGCCTGGCTGCTCCTCATTGCCAATTTGTACAGCGACGTGAAAGGCGCCGCCGAGCTTCAACTCAGACTCAGAGTCTCTCAAGATGCCGAGTAATCGGCTCTGCAGAAGGCTGCGATTGATAAACGGCTTAATGAACACTACCTATTGGGACAGGTCACCGGCGAGTAGTGATTGGCAAACAAGCTGTTGATCCAATGCACCTGGAAGCACACAAAGCGGCAGTTTGTGCGAGGCTTGCAATCCGAAAAGAAGGCAGATTCGAACCGGCACTGCTTCTAGCCTCAGGCGCAATCACGCAGACATTTGAACTAGGCACGCGCAGTAGAAGAACCTCGATTAGATGCCCAAGCACGCTGGCTGCCACATCGTAAACGTTGAGGAAGACAGGTGTCTCCCTCATTGGGGCATCTTCTGCTGCCTTGACCTGCCAGGCATTACGGCATGTCCGGAGGGCGACGGACACCCGACGCAAGCTCTCTGTTGTTGCAGGCTTGCATCGCCTGCGCCCGCGCATTATTAATTCACAGCAGCTCCATGCCTCAGCCAGGATCCTTGAAAAGGCTGCGCCAAACGGGCAGCAAACCTGTCTTGACGGGAAAGAACACGCACCGGAACGTGTGCACTTAAGGGCTTCCAGAATGCTGCTGGAAGAACCCAACCTTTCAAACTTTCATGCTTTCAAAATAACCCTCGATGGAACTTGGAGCACTTCTAAGTCTATCTCAGAACCCCGTGAGCCTCGGGTTTGGCCCACAGCCAGCGGAAACACTCCATCGGGCGGAGGATGGCTCGGGATCAAGAGGCCTAATTGCTGAAGCAGCTTTATCAAAGACCGCTGATACTGCCGTTGACGCCTCTTTGCCATCAAGCTCCCGCACTACTCAGATGCCGGATCACGCTGCAAAACATCTACCTCAAGAAGGCAATTGAAAGCTTTAAAAGTCGAGTGTGATAAGCTTGTACAACCGATATGGCAGCGAAGAGACACGCTGTTCAACCCACGTACTCAAGTTCAGCGCAGGCGTGGAGAGGTGCGTATTGTCTGTGTGTGTGTGTGTGTGGGCGCGCGCGCGCGCGTGCCTGTCCACGTGCGCACGTTGATGCACACCTTGCCTTGCTTCTTCCAACTCGATCAGCGCCATCTGTCTCACGTGACAACAAGGAGTGGAGCACGACGAAAGAATTGGCAAGTCCATTTTCTGAGGGCACAACATAAAGCGCACGCAGGGTTCAGGCCCTGTCGGTCTTCGGGCCGGCAAGGCGCTCGGTTGCTAAGCCCATCTCCACATGCTCGGACTGCTATCAAAAAACAGGTACACCAAATATCGGCATCCGAGTTCAAGGAGGATCTGATTCGAGGTTCTGCCAGGCCCAGCTTTGGAGCGAACAGGACCAAAGCGCCCTCTGCATCTACGACACCGTTCAGTGCCCTCTGGGGCTTTGGCAAAGGGCTTCAGCTACTTCATCTTCAGCATTGCCATCAGCTCCCGGGCCATGGCACGCGCATCTTGCACCTCCTGGCAGGTTGCTTGGCGGCTTCTTGAAGCTTCCGAGCGCAAGATTCTACAGGACTACTTTGCAGACAATACATGATCGCAGAATAACAGTTTCTAGACCATGTGCGCCTTCAGCCTCACCCTCAGCCCATGCAATCGAGAAAACCCCGCTCTACGTAATGGGCCCATTTAGGTTGCCCTTAGTATAAGGGACTGTATCATTATAGGTACCCCAACTTAGAACACTCATGAAACAGAGCTTCCGGCGTCAGCGAAAGCCCTAAGCCTTAGTCCAGCCAATTGCCGCAGCATGCTCCCTACTAGGATGTTGTGAGCGACTAATTTCCAACAGGTGCCAGATCTAGGGAGCCCGGTGTAGCACGCAGAAGCCATGATTGGGAGATTCATTTGAGGCTCAACGTTGAAGGTGAACCGATATTCGCAAGCATCGATTTGCGGATGGCTGCGGTCCTTGAAGGCCCGGTCCTTGTAAACCTGGCTGATGCGGCATGCCAGCACTTCAGCACTCTGATCGACTCAAGCTTCCAAACCCTCCCCACAACTGCGTGTGTCGCAGTGGACCATCGTTCTCGAGACACCGAGCGAAGGTTTAGCAGTTTGAAGGGGCCTGAGGCGGAGTGGCGGCAGCACTGTTCATGGAGAAGATGCTGGAGTAGGCATCCGCATCTGCGTTGGTGACTGCCTTGCCGAAAGCGCAAAGACGGCTCAAGTGGCCACGTAGTAGCAAGGAACGCTTTCGGATCATCTGGGTCTGCCTCCTTGAGCTTCTCCAGGGTCTCAAAATACACCTCTGGGTCTTCCACCTCTTCGGCCATGGCCTTGAAGGCCTGTCAGTCTCATCAGGCAGTCGCCACATGTCTCGAGTCTCAAAAACTCATTCCGCTGACCTTCTCCGCATCGAAAAGGGGCGACGTTGTGCCGACAGTTCCCAGCTCGCGCCTAGTAGTTGCATTGGCGATTCTGCTGTGAGGGAAATGCCGTCTAGATGCTACCATACCCTCTACAGACTCTACAGGCCAATGCGCCTGATACTGTCACCTCCACCTGCGGCCACCTTTGCAAAGGTCTCCGTCTTCGCCAGCTCTTCCAGCTGCGCGCACACACTATCACACACTGGACTACACGCACGGAAGCTCAAAAAGACAGCACAACGTACTTAGGGGTCCTCTTCTTTATCTCTTTACCCCCCCCCCCCTCCCGGCCGCTGCCTTCTGCGCCACGGCAGCCACGCGCTCCCGCGCGCCCTCGAGCTCGGCCAAGGCCGGTGCCGGTGCCGCGAGGGGCACAAGCGGCAGGAGCCAGAGCGCCCGGCGAGGCAGCTGCAGCAAGCGATGCGTAAGGGGACACTCAAACGACAAAAACAAACAAGGCCCTCAGTTGTGGAGATTTCGGGTACCTCGAGGAAGGTCGAGCTAAACACGGCGCCACGCGCAATCGCGGCTGCGCACGTCCCACCTTACCGCAGTTTCTTCGCAACTTTTTTTTCAAGGAACGAGCACACGAGCACAGCACCGATAAACGAGAACCAGAAAACAATTCGAAGAGAAGTGAAGAGAACCCAGAAGTGCTAGAAGCAGGCGGGGCTCAAACTGCCACGGCCAGGCATCGCTGCCATGGGAGCAACTTCAGTCGAGGCCTCTTTGGGCCTCCCATGGTTTCCAAGTCTCAGCTCACAAGCCCAAACAGCTGCGACCTCATGCACAGTAGATTGCTAGTTCCTCGCTTTTCAGTGTGAGAGAGTGAGTGAGTGAGAGAGAGAGAGAGGAAAACAAAAAAAAAACAATCGACCGGCAAACCGGAAGCGACAGATGTTTTGCCTCCGCACTCCGGGGCTGACGATGAGCTCCGATGCATACCAGAATCTGTACAGAACACCCGCACCCCAAACGAGTGCATGGCAAGCCTGGCGCAAAACTTTCGAATGGCGCTCTCCAATGCAGTCGTCTCAGCTTCTCCTACACTCTGACCTTGAACCCACAAAGCACACAAGAAGACAAGGCAGAAGATGACGTCCCAACTTCCAACCATTCAAATGGTAGGAGTTGACGTCCAGGGACGACTGAGAGGAGGGCGAGATGGCTCCGCTGGAAAGGAGCTTCATCCCCGGACTCAAAAGACACTTTGAAACAAGGTCCTGGCAACTGGGCTTTGCAAGACTTCTGCTGTAAAGCCTCTCCGACCTGGTGTAACCCCTGTAGATATGTACTTACTGGCCCTCGAACATCCGCACCCCCTAAAGCAACCCCACAACACCTGAGCCTTAAACCAGAACTGAAGTAAAACGCAGATGCCCAGATGGCTTTCTCAAGGCGTTCACAGCACGCCCTTCGCCCGGCCCACTTCGACGAAGGCGTCGATGCAGCGCTGCACCTGCTCCGGCCTGTGCGGTGCTTGACATGGTTGCATGATGGGCAGCTTACTACTGCGACTATTGGACCATTGTGCGGCAGTTCCCGGATTTTTTTTCTGCTGTCTTTTGGGTTACCCGCAACAACGCGAAGTTAACAGCAACAAAGGGCAGAAGGCCTTTTCGCCTTCAGCCTTTAGGCCTAACTTCGAGTCAGAGCCCCGAATTCCCGGCACTTTCTGGAACGTGGCTCCGAAGATTCCTCTTGCAACCGCCCCAAGCAAGTGTCGGAATCCGGAGGCTCAGAGGGAGGCCCAAAAAACAGGGGAAGGTCCGGGGGCCCCTTGAACCTGAGAGCTTCGGACCATACCAGTAGTGCATTAAAGGTTTTTCAGAAGGCTTAGGACTGGAAGGGACGAGACCCAAGGGCTTCGAGCCGAAAAGAACCCTGCCAAGGATTTTCAGGTTCTTGGTGTTAGAGCAGTTACATCTTCGGGGTCCATATTTGTGGGCCTAAACCTCCAGCAATCGCCACGCTGGGGCCACGACGTGTGGGAGGCGCTCATCTGCACTCGGATGCGCGCGGCCCCTTTTGGCACCACGGGGTAGCTGAAGCCGATGACCTCAGCAACTCCAAGCTCTCACCGATGTCCCAAATTTTGCAACTGTAGAAGCATGTAGAACCGATGGACCCAATCGACCCTCAGCCCCAAACATCCTTCAAACTCTCAACATCCCAACCCGCAAACCCTGATTTCGAGCAGACGAGCGGCGTAGATACCTCGCTTCAGCATCTCGTCTGCCATCTCCGATGCTAGCCGGGCGTCCCCGAGCATGACGGGAACGATCGGGCAACTCCTGAGCGCAGTACACTGCACTGAGCACTGAGCCCTACACAAAACCTGAACTCATTGACACACATGCCGCGGGCACCAATGTCAGGGCAACGCGTGCGCTTAGGGCTGGATCGTTTGAGGGTTGGCTCGAGCTTGTCGCTCGACGTGGCGTGCAGCGGACAATCCACAGGGCCATGCTGACACTGAGCCTTTTGGACATAGGCCCACGGGCCAGGCAGGAGCTGATGCTGGTTGGATTGCTGGTGATTGCCCCACGTTGCCCGTGTGGGAGTGGCGCTTGCGGGAGCTCAGAGCTCCTCACTTTCAGGTTCTTGGCCGACTGCGGCCCTGGAGGATACATGTCAGTCAATCCCCTCAGAATACATGCCGCCAAAGGTATATGTCGTCATGCTGAGAAACATGCAAGGCATGTGCCCTGTAAACTTGCAGGTCGTGTAGGACGCACAAGCTCCAGGCCCTCTGCACTGAAACCGCCACTTCTACTACGTCTAGCTAGGCGGCGAAAAGCTGAAGATAGGTAAAGCCAGCGAACGTGGCAGGGTTCACAGCACACGCAACGGCATACGAAACGCAACTGGGGGTGATGCTCATGGCCGCTCAGCTTGAATCCCGCAGCTTGCATCGAAGAGCGGAACTGCTGGACGTTGGCCTGGGAGAGGAGAGCAGGGAGAGGTTAGTCCACGTTTAGATCTATATATCTACATACATGTATAAATCCGTGGTTTCGCAGTCGAAAAGTGGAGAGAAGGGCTACTTGAACAAACAAACAAAGCAGTACTGGGAAAGCCGCGATGCCTCTAGTCGGCCCCGGAGGTCCTTGCTGCTGGCCTCGTCAGACAGCATCTTGAAGACCTCCGCTCAGAGGGCAAAGGAGAGAGAGAGCCTGATTCGGGTTTTGAGGTTTGTTGAGGGGTTCGAATAAAGGTCTCAGCCCGAAATAAGCTCGAATCAACCTGAAACCCGTCTGCCCAAAGCTGCCCAGAGTCCCAGACACCCAACCACCCAACCACCCATGGCCTGAAGTGATGCCCCGGCCACCTCGACTCTTTGCAGGCTTTATCTGGTTGTTGGGGGGTTGGCTTTTGGCGTTGTTGTCTCATGATCCCATGATCCCATGGCCCTGGTCACGCCCCTAAGATCACGGCTGAGGGGGCCAGCGTGTTGGAGAAGAGGTAAGGCCTGTCGGAGCCCCATTGCCACATTGCGGAGGGGCGGAAACTTGGGAAGCTCCTGGCCTGGCTCTGTTGCGCAGGAGGTCAATCAAGGCCTGGGCAAAGTCAAGTCAACAGGCGCAGCTACGGGCGGCGGGAAACTTCCGAGCCTTGGGTCCCGTGGTGTATCCGCCAGTTGCACCGCCCAAGGCTTTGCCGAGGGTGCTGTTGACGATGTCCACGCGGTCTGACAGCACAGCAACCGCGCAGCGCAGGGCCACCATAGGCCAGCAACGTCACTTAAAAGAGCACTCACGAAATCTCATGGGCCAGTCCTGCTACCCCGCACAGTTCCGGAGTTCCACGGCCCGTGCGACCTCAGCACGAAGCCCACTCTGTGAATCAAATCATACATAATGAGTATAAGACTGTAGCGGGCTCTAGCTACACCGGCAGAAGCGCCAGCAGGCACAAGCATCAAAAACTCTCGCATCTTTCTGATGCTGCTTGCCGCTGTCAGCCTAGTCTCTGCGGAGCCCGAGGGCTACGGCTCAGGCGCGTCTAGTCGGTGTCCAGGCATCATGAGCTTCTTGGGACATCCGTGGATTTAAGGATCTAAGGCCTTGAATGTGGTTACCATGCTGCGGTCCGTGGCCGCTTGCAGAGTCGCTGCTCGGGGGCAGCTGCAGCAGCCGAATTCCCGTTCGTGGGTGGGAAAATGGCACAGAACGGGCGCTGCGAAACAAATCCCTGTTTGGGTTTTTGTGCTCTCAGTCCCTTCCGGCTTCTGCTGGTCTTCGGCCTTCACAGCTCCACGGCACTGTCAAGATACATCAACTTCAACAGCAATCAACAGAGGCAAGCCTGAAAGCGAGTCTCGCAGCAGCCGGTGCCACCAACCGAAGTAGATGCCGGGGTCGAGGAACCTCGACATTGCAGCAAACGCTTCCTGCAAGCAGAACCTCGGAACCTCTGCACATACTTGCGCTTTCCACACAGCTTGTCCCTGCAAATTGCTCAAGCAGCGTCATCTGCAGCACGGCTAGGCCCGTTCCCACCACCAACGAGGACGATCGCGTCGTCTGCAGCACTCGCATCAGGGTCCTACCAAGCAAGAGAACGCCAAGAGCCAGACAGCGGGGGATTTTCGCAATGTTCGCGCAGTTTTCGTGCATCGTCCTGTGCTCGGGGCGCATTCCGCCAAGGGAGATCAGGCCACTCAGGGACCCAATGCCGGCACCAACCAGAAATCCTGCAATGCCTCGGAGGCTTGCTAGAACAAACTGCCAAGCTGCTCAGTGCATAAAGAAGAATACCCCACCAAATTCATGAGCCCCCCTGCCCAAAAGATCACACAAGATCCCACAACTAACCCCAAAAGATCCCACAAGTGGCCGTCAGCCAGCAGCTCGCCGGAGGAGCGAGGCTCTCGGCGGTCGACCCGCGCTTCCCAGAATGCCATGGCAGTATGCCGATGTTCCACCGATCTCTCTTCTGCTGTCTCTCCGTCTCTTCCGGGTCTGACCTCCATGAACTATTCGGGACGAACATCTTCACATCTTCGATCCGCCAGTTCGAGGGGTCTACAGGCCGATGTTTTGGGCAGAAGGCAGGTCGTTTAGGCTTCGATCAATGTCCGACGTGGCGACTTTGACCCGCACGATATCATTGCCCGGCTTGAATAAATGGCAACTCGGAGTTTCAATGGACGGGAGCAGCAAGGGACAACACAGTCTTGTAAGGCCCCCGGCCGAGGAATCCCGTGGCGTGGCATTCGTCTACGAAGACCTGGGCCTCGTACTTGTCCGCGAGGTCGCAGATCTCGCCTCATCTCCGATTGGGTCGCACAGAGAGCTGCCCTCTCAAACTGGCTCCTGTAGGCATCTTGCACTACATAATATTATTCTACGATGTTGACGGACAAGAGGGCGTCCTCGGGCCCTCACGAAGCGGCGCGATGTCTCCATCCATTGAGAAGACCTTTGCTTCGACTCTGCGGTTGAGTTTTGCTTTTTTGTTCAGAGGGCTTTTGTGGTTTTTGTGGGCTTCTCCAACTTCCCGGTAACACCAGCATCCAAGCACGCGAGGAACCACGCGGAGACTCGTGAGGACGACGCCCCGTCCGTCACGATCATCCGCTGGCGCGTGCCTTTCGCGACGCACTCCTTGAGGATCTCCTGGCAGTTCTGAGCTCGGTAAGAACTAGGATGGACTTAGCTGCTACTTGTCTGGGATTCGTCCGCTCACAAGGGACCACCCCTCTTCCGGAAAGCCGCAACGAGAACCAATGCCTCAAGGTGCGCCATGTCCATGTGATTGTACCTTGAGCTAAGAACAAAAGAGCATCGGTGAAGGAGACGAATCTGCAATCTACTAGGACTCTAAGTGCTGGGAGGGACACCGGTGCCGCTGCGCCTTGCAAAGCCGGATACCATCGATAATGGAGGCGTGGTTCAACCTCATGCAACGCATGCTTACTGGTGGGCAACCCAAATACCTGAACCTTCTTCTTGATGGTGCAAAGGCCCTTCCTGGCCAAATTGGTCTCTCTCGCTCAGGGAAGCCGCTTGGCCGGCCGGAGTCAGTTTATCCCTCTGGTCCGTGGCCTCAGAACGAAGCCTTCGTGATACGCGGTACCCGTTGAGCCACAGCCTCCAAGAAGAAATACTCTGTAGCTGTAGTCCTTCGGTCCCCAGCTCAGCACACGTCACATTAGGGTTGGCTTTCTCTGTTACCTAGAATATGCCTCCTCAGCGACTAGCTCCGTAATTACCCAGATACTTTCATTATCACATTCAGAACGGAGGTATCTGGAACAAATAGCGGATGGCGCAGGAGCCGTCCCCCATCACAAATTGAGTGCTGAGGTGCTCAACAACAACAAGTACAAAACCTGGTGGTTCGTTCATCCGCCAACTTTGACTGGGGTCTCCCTGCACTTTCAAAAAGAACCTTTCCGGAGCATGATCACTCAGGGGAGCCCGAAGACTCCTCACATCGTCCTCTCCCTTTGTCTTCCCCTTCTGATCATTCTTCGTCTTTTCTTCTTCTTCTTCTTCTTCCGATTCTTCTTCTCTTTCCGCCTTTCATGGGGCAGATGCTCGCTCTCTCTCTCTCTCTCTCTCGCGTTTGCTTTCCTCTCTCTCTCTCTATCTTTCGTGGGGCTAGGGGTCAAGCTCTCTCCCTTCTTCTTCTGAGCAGCGAAGAGGCCCCCCTCGAGGGAAGCTCTCTCCCTCTCTCTCCCTCTCTCTCCCTCTCTCTCGCTCTGAGATGCACCAGGGATTCGGCGCATCCGAGATCACGGCATCCTCCGGGCCTAGGCAGGCCTCGCGGCCACCGCGGTCGAAAAGAAAAATCCGGGGGTATCATGTGCGGCGCACCTCGAAGAGCCCCGCGTTGGCATCGAAGCAGGAGGGGAAGAGGATGGTGTCCTGGAGATGGAAAGAAAAACTTGAAGAACTTGAGGAGCCTCAGCTTCTTCCATCCCTGAAGCACGGACGGTTGCTTTGGCTTTGACGAAGACGAGATGGCCAGCGCGGTTGCTGATGTCTTTAGCTCGGCCATATGGCACAAGTGCCCGCTCTACCAGGAAGCAGCCGTCCCGTCCCTCGGCATACAGAGGGACTGTGTCCTCCGTACCGTGGAACTTGCTGATGGCAGCCTCCAAAACAAGCCACGTGATCTGAAGCGCACAAAAACGAAATGCTGCTGGCAGAGACGCGATGAACCAAGCGGGTGCCTCAAGCTGCTTGTGCAGATCCTGGGCAGCAGAGCCCCTTTTCCTCTGGGGATACAACTGCCATAACGGCCGTGAGCTGTTTTCAGGGGCTGTTCTGACATGCTTGAGGGGATGATGTAGTCCATCATAGTCCTAAACTCCGTCTCCAATTCCCCGTCGCCTGTGTGCCACAGATGAAGCGAACCGAGGACAAGCCGAAGCCGTGCGACGACAGCGTGCTCTGGGCAGCCTCACAGGGGTCGACAGCCAAAAGGTGCTGGTTGTGCACAGTGTGTAGGCAGTGTGTAGGTAGGGTGTAAGAAGAGTGTAGGCAGAGTGTAGAGTTTGCGCACGGCCTTCATTAGAAGATGTTGTGTTGTAAGTTGTCCTCTCCACAGTAGAAGATGTCTCTCTAGACGATAAAGCAAGCAAAGGTTGCGTGCCCCTCCACAAAAGTGGATATCCCGCCTCCACCAATGACGGATGACTCGACAGGCCAAGGTAGTTGTTGGCACAAAAGTTGAGGACGGGCTCTGACCTGGCGAAACGGGGCTTGACAACAAGGAAAACTAGTCATCTAGAATCTATAGAGCTTGATACGGCGCGTCTGCTAAAAGTTACATATGCCGCTGATTCCGATTCGGATCAGCCTGATGGAGCCTGGCTCTTTTTGGTAAAAGCTCTTACGCAAGACTCAGCCAGGTGGGCCCACCAGAGACCTTCACCGCCCCTGCCTGGGGGCTTTCGATCACCCGCTCGACCTCTGGGGACGGATCTTGAGGTCTTGATGCCAAGACATCCACTGGCAGCATCCCCAAAGCGGCGGGCCCAAAGCCGAAACGCATGAGGAGCATGCTGTCACGGGGCCCCCCAAAAGGGCACCACGGCCCCTTGACCATCTCACCAGCCCCCCGCCTTGTACGTGCCAGCCGCGCGCATCGCCGCCAGCTCCTCTGAGCGAGGGGGAACGTCGTGTGTACGGCTTCTCCGGAAGGAAAGGATTCTTGGGCTTAGGCTGCAGGGCCCGTGGCCTCGTAGACTTGCTACATGGGGCAGAGGCCTTCGGATTCGGGGATCAATTATCAAAGGCTAGCCCTGCTTAGTCCCATGTTTTCCAACTCCCGCTCCTCTTCCAGGCGCGACAGGAAGCCAGCATTGCGCCCTTCCAGGCTGAATGTCTCCCAGTCTTAAAGTCAACATCTTGAAGTTGCCGAACAGCGATACTGTAGGAGCTTAAGCTTGAAGGCCTCTCCTAAGCATGTCACCCCACCAGGCTCTAAGGTCCAATGCCTCAATGATGATGCCACTTCAGCGAACTCTTCAGCGAACTTCAGATTTGATCTCCTGGCCTTTGCCGAAAAGAAACCTAGGTTGGGCCCCTTTCAACCTGCGAAGATTCCTGCATCCGAAGCCCTCTCAGAAACACAGTAAAGGGAAGCCTGCTAGGAGCCACGAACCAGTCACGAGGATGAGGCACATGGGGACCCCACCCTCGTGCCTGTCGTCACTTTTGGGGCTTAGTTTTGAAGAAGTGCGGACCGTCACGAGACAGTCACGAGGATGGGGCACCTGGTTGGCGCCATCCTCGTGATAAGCTATCCTCGTGACTGTCAGCACTTGTTAAACTTAAACAAGCAACGCTCACACAGTGACGACAGTCACGAGGACGATCCTCGTGACTGTCTGCACTTCTTGGGAAGCCAGGGTCTAACAGTGCCGACCGTCAAGAGGATGACGCACTTCCAACAACCTCCTCCGGAGGCCTCATCCTGCACTTTCGAGGGCATACGACGACAGAAAGCCTACCAAAAAAGGCGCCAAAACGCTGCCTTCCGGCTTGTCATTTTCTAACACGAAGGCTTTGCGAACACAAAACACGCACGGATGATGGAACCTCCCCAACCCGAACCCTTCTGATTCGCAGTCGGGAGATGAAAACACCACGTGTCACTCTCAAGGGCCCTCAGACCCTGAACGCTGAACACTGGCACACGCTGGTTGTCGGGTGTTCCCGGTTCTGCCTGCTGTCGTCACATGCCGAGCGCCCCGCGCAAGGCGAGCGGGGAACCTCCAAGCCAAGTTCCTAACTTCTTGAAGGCTTCTGCGTAGTGCCAAGGCTTCAAGGCTTTGGGGCGCTGTGGCTTGAAGGACTTCGTGCAAGGAAGGACCCATCATTCTGCCATTTTGCCATCGGCAAGTTTGCTAAGAAGTGGTGTTGCAGACAGCTCGCGGGACCTGAAGGCGCGCAAAGCACGCGACATGGCGGGAGCTGACATCTTGAAGCGGCTACCCAGATGAAGCGAAGATAAACTTGCCGTACAATGAAGAGCAAAGAGCTTCAAAGGACCGTGCTATGAACAATATCCATTCATCCAGTGCAACAAACTGCTCGCTGCTGCCCCGTACGGCTTCATCTTCATCCAAGTCTGTCATGATGTAATTGTTGGCGCTGCGTCGCGCTACAGCGAGCTTTGCTGATGTAGCACATCCACAAGTGCATCCACAAGTGCATCCTGCTTGCCAATGCCGCTGTCTCAAGCAGTCCTTTAATGGCGGGCGACGATATGAAAGCACTCACCGCGTGAGACGGACGACAGACCTTCATAATCTGGCCGGAGGGAGGCATCACTACAAGGCCGAATTGGAAGGGCCCCTTTGTACCTCGACGTGCTTGTCGAGTGGCTTGCATGGCCTTCGCCTTGCCTGCATGCAAGACACATTCCGAGCGCTTCAGCGCTTCACACCGAAGCGTGCCAAGCGTGCCAAAGAAGCCGAGCAAGCTTCAGGGACAGGCTCGGCGCGGCGCCCGGAAAACAAGCCGTGCTCTCGATTGGAGTAGGAAAGGTGTTGGGTTGGTTATGGTTGGTTGGGTTGGTTATGGTTGTGGTTGGTTTTGGTTGGTTGGGTTCGGGTTGCTTCCAGGGTCGGGAAGCTTGGTTTTCCCCCGTCTGCCGCGGCTTGAGGAGCGATGGCCTCGAGCCGCCGGCGCCTCACTTCTTCGCGAAGACGACTTGGTCGACCAGCTTGCGGCCCATGACCTCCCCGTGCATCCAACAAGTCAAAAAAGACTTTACACCAGAATGTCAAGCCTCGATACGACGCAGGCCCTAAACGCATATTGGGGCTCTACATCCCATGCCCATGATTCCTATGATCTTCAAACTCCCGAAACCTTAGAGCCTTAGAGGCAACATCTTGGCAGGGGGGTGTGGCGCAGTGTGCGCCTGACCGTGCTCGTTGACCGTGCCCGGCTTGAACCTCAGTAGTGCCGAGCGTCAAGCATGGGATGCTTCAGGAGATTAAAGCTCTAACACGCCTCTCTCCATCTCTCCTATAAAGCCTCCAGGAGCCTCCTGCAAGGCTTTCTGAACTCTCAAAAAATTAGCAATCCATACTCGGAAAGTACGGGGCATGAAAGGCAGCAAGGCCTCCCAGATCCCGAACACAAAGCTCGAAAGCGCGATCCCTTGTCGGCGCCAAGGTGCTTTGAGGCGGGATGCGAGGCCAACTCTGGCGGCACCTGCCAAGGTGGCAGAGCTTCACCTGAACTAGCAGCTGCTCTTTTGCCATGCCAGCCAGACAACTTGGTTCGAGCTCTTGAGGAAGTTCGTGAGGTCATAGAAGATTTCGGAGTCCTCCGTGCAACTCGCACTTCGCAAAAAAGCTTGGAGAACGGAATTAGGTACTTCAGCCCAAGAGACTTTCAGCCTCGAGGGCTTCAGCCCAAGACCACCAACGGCTAGAATCTTAGAGAGCGCTCGTTCGCTCGGTGCCTGAGTCATCGGACATGCAAGGAGAACCACGAAGGCTTCACGAACAGCCTTGCTCCGGAACGACCCGGACACGTCTTGCATTTCTTCTGCGTCCGACAGTACTGTGTTGTTGCAACTTGTGCAAAGCGTCGTATAGATTCGTACAGTATCGTGCCGTTGCGCCATTGCGCTGCTTTGGGCGCGGAACCCAAAACCCGAAACCCTAAAAGCCCATCAACCCTAAACCTGATGACAGGAGTGGAGCATGCAGCAACGCGTACGGAGCAACGGAGGGGGGGGCAGTGTTGTGGACGCTAATTTCCATGTTTCCCCCCACAAGGATGCATTGCAATGAGCGAACAGCGCGCAAGAAGTCCTCCGGTGTGACGAAGGAAATCGCCAAACCTCGCTGTTCCAGACGCAACTTGAAGGACCCCCGTGGTGAGCTCCAAGCTTCTGAGTCTTGTTGTGGACTAAGACCCTACGACCCTACGAAGACCCCGCAATAACCCGCAGCTTCAACTTGGGGCGTCTGCCTTTCAGACCTGCTCGGCCAGTTCGCCCGATGCGGTGGGTGTAGTCCTCCAGCCGAACTACAAGTCATCGCCGTGTGGCCCGTGTCTCTTGCTATAGTTATCCATGTTTCAATGTGCGTTGCCACTGCTGCTACTGCTGCTTCTGGTGGTGTTAGGAACGACCCCTTGGCTGTGTGAGGGGGCCTCAACACCTCGGGCTTCGCTTCCAAGTTCGAAGTCCGATCTGGCCTCGATCGTCTTCGGCATGTCGAAGTTGATCACACGCTGCACGCCCTCGATATCCAGGCCACGCCCGGCCACATCGGTGGCGACCAAAATGTCGTACCTGGAAAAAGAGTCGGCTGTGGAGGCTTCCACTCGCTTTCAGCGACTTGTCAGCAGGCCTGCCCTCCTTGAAGGAGTTCATGGCCCACTCTCGCTGCTCCTGCACGTCGCATCCCCGCACAGACATAGTGACGATGACACAGGTGGGCGCCAGCAGGGTGCAGTCTCCTGGCTCTTTCCTCCGTGGATGGAGCAAACTCGGTAGCCATTGTTGTCCAAGGACCTTGAGAGTCATGAAGCAAATTTCAGGCCAAAGAAACACCAAAAGTTAAAAGCGTTGGCCTCACACTGTGGTGTATGCTTGAGGCTGCTTGAGCTTCGGGCTTGGATAGCACATCCACAGCCTTCTTCTGATTCACAAACACCTCGGGTGAAGGCTCGACTTCTTCACGCTATTTCGCTGCAAGGGATGCGCCTGTGCTGCGGTTGGTGGCTTGGGTGCTGCCCACAAAAGCTATGCTCTGGGGGCGTGTCTTTGTACAGACTTAGGTATGGAGCTGCTGCGAGAAAAGAGCGGCGCGCACAGCTGCAGAAAGGAGCGCAGGCTTGGGCGGCCCGGCAATGATAGGCGGCTCGGCACCCACGAGCATCTCCTCCAGTCGCTTCTTCTTCTTGGCCTCCCGTTGCAAATCTGCAGGCCACCGCATCTGACTATGACATTCTGGCGTTCGACGGGATCTACCTCCGTTAATTAAGCCTATAGCCTATAGCCTAAAAAAAGAAACCAGCCTCGCTGATGAACTCCAGCTGCTGCTCAATGTCCTCGCTTGCCAGACATGGCCGGCTGCAGGTTCGCTCTACATGCGAAGCTCTGTCTAGCACACTTGCAAGCTCTTGTGCATGTACTGAACCCTCTCAGCCCAATTCCTGTACAAAGGGTGAACCGACAACATCACGGAACGCTCGGGCCAGCCTTCTTCGCCTGGCCAGGATCGCCGACGTTGATGATGGCCGGACACCTCAGGAATCCACTTGATTCCATCTCTGCACTCCCACGTTCGAGCCGCCCAGCGCTTGGAAACAGGCCCCCCCCCGCCGCCAAATCCTCAGGTCAGAGCCGAAGGAAGCTGCGGGCCATTCGCTCAATGGCCGGTGGCATCGTCGCACTGCGGCACGTTGCGGCATGTCAAAACCAGACACTTGCGGAGCCTGACTACGTGACTACGTGCAACTTCCCGGAATGGCAAGGCATGCCCACAGCGGGTGCACCTGTACATCTGGGTGATTCGGTACTTCTTCTTGCCCCCCATGGCATCCTCCTCCTGCCAAGTGCCAGGTGGTTCAAAAGCATTGCCACAAAGCAGCCGCCACGCTCAGCGCTTTTCCCCCTGCTCTTCACTGCCCTTGACGAGGAATCTCCCGTCCAAAAGCTCTGCGGGAGCTCCCTCATCCCGCCTTCGTGTGAGGGCGGAGCTTCCCCGAAAGCCTTCGCCTTCGCCGCTGCTTGGCAGCGAACCGAAGGAAAAGCATAAGAACAAAAAACACTTGAAAGCAAAGCCATCTCCCAGCTCTGTGGAGGATGACCGGGCTCCCTAAAGGAGCACCAGCCCTTTCACAATCACATAAAGGCATATCAACACCTACGCAGGCTACACAGTCGCACGCTCGCGAGGCGCCGCGTTGAATTCCAGGCAATGTCCTGTTAGAGAGGGCTTTTGAGACAAACTTGAAGAAGAGCAAAGTTGATGTTCAACCTGATGACACCACCCGAAACCACGCATCGCCTCGCATGCATGTAACCACAGCTATGCAGCTACTCAGCTATACTACTGAAAACATCTGATTAACGGGGGACCCTTCGTCTATGACGGCTTCTCGGGCCCTTTCTCTTGCCCGGCTTGCGCTTCCAGGCAAGTCAGCACCTGGAGCGAACAAGAAACGACTTTCTCAATCAATAATCGCAAGTTTTGAAAAAGCAAGTTTGCAAACCAAGAAAGCTCCTACTAGTAAAAACCTAGGCCCTCCCCCATTTGGCCTCTTCGGCTGTTGGCCTGGCCTTCGGCTCCTGCAAAAGCCCCCCACTCTGAGTACCCGCCATGTCAAGCAGAAAGGGCTCAAAGGGATCCTTTTGGAGGCACTTGTCCATGAGTTCCACCTCGAAAGGCACCCGCAGGGGTTGGGGTTCGACTCTTTGGGGCTCACAAGGGCTTATGGGGGCTTCACGGAGAAGCTGGGACTACCGCACCCGTAGTACACCGAAAAACTCCCGGGGCTCTGGCCACTCCCTTGGAGCGGGACTCCGCAGCAGGGCGCTCCGATAAGGGGGGCCCGGCCCCCGTGACCAAAGCCTGAGAGTCGCGAAAAGAGCTGTTAGTAGGGATTTCTTGGTTTAAAGTGAGGCTACTGGTAGGCTGTAGGCTGGAGACACCCGAAGGATCGGAAGATTCTGAGAGCACGGAGCACAAGACGCTCCAAGCACCGTTAAACCGCCGAGCCAAATTTGGCAATGGACACCCAGTTCCCAAGGTCGCACAGGCAGATGCAGATGCCCAAAGCTGTAAATAGCGATTAACCTTCTTTCCGGTTTGAACGGGAAGGGATGTTGCGTGTTAGCATAGTGCTTTACACGAAACACAAGACAAAGACTCTCTTCGCGGCTCGTTTTCGGCAGGCTGCATCGGCAGCGCCCTCGTATTGTGTGGTTCACAGCAAAGGGCTGCCAATTGCTCAGTCTGAAAAGATGTCACATTTGATCTTACTTGTGTACTGCTCAACTGATCGAGCTGCTTTCCGCAAGGCGCGTTGTCTGGTTGGGGTCTCATGCCAACCCGAGCTGCGGCCTACAGTATGCCACTGCTCTGGGAGGGTCTCTTTTCACCGATCTGAGACAGCAAGCATCCTATGTAGGCCGAGGTGCTGCCTCCAGCTGCGGCAAGGTCAGGTCCTACATAGCAAAGCATCCCCCACCCCCCTCCCCCCACACACCCCTTTATCCGACTTCAGGCGGTGGCGCACCTCTCCGTACGGCAGGCCCAACTCCAGCATCTCGAAGATCACGCATCCGAACGCCCACACATCGGTTTCAGGGCCGTAGTCCTCACCTCGACAGCTCCCAGAAACTTCGCAGCCGGGCACTGGCCTCTCACTGCAAAGCCACAAAAAAACTTCAAAGGAGGCCTGGCTGCGCCGCCACCTCCGGCGCCATGAAGTGCGGCGTCTGCACCTTCAAAGACGACTGCAAGCACGCCATCACTCTTTTTTTTGCTCCCCGGCGCTGATTCTTTCACTGCCTTTATAGTTGGACCGAGTGCTGCACAGGGGTCTGGGCCCGGCTGGCGGCCTCGGAGAGGTCTTGGGGGCTCACGTATCCAGTTTGCGGCTTGCGGCTCGCAATCTGCAGCTGTGGGCCATGGTGGCTTTTGGGTGCTACAGCTTTCACTCTAGCGAGTCAACATTCTGAAGGCAGGCAACCCCCAAAGCGAACGAATCCACGTCAAGGCAGGCGTGAAACTCTTCGCACTGCCTTGGCAGCGTCGAAATCGCCAACTTTGGCAGCCAAGGTGTTCAAGGGCTGGTCCTGGCCGAGGCTCCCAAGTACGCCCAAATGCTTCGTGTATAAGTCAGGTCTGAGTTCGCATGTTCCTCCGGGATTTTGGGGGGTCGGAGGCCCGCACTTTTGCTTCACAGAGCAATGGCCGAAGCCACCGGAGCCCTGTGAACGGCCCTCATCAGTCCTCCCCCGCATCCTTGGCCAGTCCGCACCTTGAAACATCTCTTATCGTAGCATAGGGGGCTTCCTCCTTTAGGCCCCGTAGCATTAAGTCACTCCGTCCTCCCCAGACCCCCGAATGGACGACGACCTGACCCAAAGTGTTCAGTGCTCCCGAGGAACAGCCAGATGTTGGCGGACTTCCTCGGCTGTCCCCCGATTAAACTACCGACAAAAGCCGCCGATAGTTTCGGACGCACACACAAATGCAGACACGGAAAGAGAGCATGTGGACTTTCTTTGGCCGTGGATCAGGTCCCGGTGCAGCACCCGATGCCGATGAAGGTGCGCCAGCCCAGCCGCCACCTCAACTTCTGCTACGTAGGTAGCAAGGCAAAGCCGAGGCCCGGCGAACCGCATGCCATGCGAACCCACCGTCTTTGTACAACTGAGAAAGTGCATCCCTTTGCCACCGCCCGATCAAGAAAATTCCTGCAATCGGCCTGCACGAGAACGTTCAGAAGCTCCGATGCTAGGAAAGGCTGCTGCCTCAACCAGAGACTCGCGAGACCGAAGGGCTGAACCAAACTCTGTAGGCCAAAAGCCCCCTCCTCCCCCCCCCCTCCCCCACTCCCCCTGCAGCCCTAAACCCTGCTCCGGCCCTCAACCGCCTTTCCTGAGCGACTGGCTGCTCACGGCGTCTCCGTATCACCGACTCCAGCGACGCATCACACAGCTCCAACAGCATAACGTAGGCCTCTCATCACGAAGCTGAGATAAGCTGTGGGATGTTGAGGGCATCTGAAGGGGCTCTGCTGTGGCTTGGCTCTGTTCAGATCGAGCGTGCAAGGCGTTCCAGTGCTTTGCTGCGGGTTTGGGGCCCATTTCACTCTCGCTGGCGGAGAAAGGGCGGCCTTGTGCCGGACCCCCATCTCCATGTAGCACTCGGTGCTCCAGGCGCCGTGGAAGCCCACAATGGAGGGATGCCTTCTGCTTCAGCATCGCGAGGACCCCTAAACCATCCTAAACCCTGTGGAGGCCCCAAAGACTACACACAAATCCGACACACCTTCGGATGGTTCTGTTGGCCTTTCTTGGGCTTCGGAAGCTGAAGAAATCAAAAAACTTCTGAGAGCTTCCTTGGCCAAGCCACGGAGGCAGCGACTGCATCATCTCCACCTCCTTGCCGAAGTCCTCCGCTTCTTCGGGGGTTGCTCTTTCATTCCCGATTTCAGGGAGAGAGCGCCCTCAGAAAGCCTAGGAGTCCTAGGAGCACACTTCAGAAAGCCCCCCGGTCCTCCACCATGTCGGGAAAGGTGGCTTTCCCCAGCGGCAGGACCTCTTAGGAGCTCTTAGGAGCTCTCTTAGGAGCTCTGCGGGACAAGAGCTTTGTCAGCTGCTGCACCATTGTGCTGCGTGCTGTCTCCAAAGTCCTACTCAGCAAGAAATTCAGAAGGCGCTGCTCCGGGCCTTGCCCGCAAGCGACGCGTGCTCCTGGGATCCAGGATTGGTCGACGTCCAAGCACATAATTCTCATTGAGGCCGCTCTGAATCTGCGGCCGGGCGGCAGGAATCTGAGTGGACTGGCAGCGGTGGACTCTGCATCCGCTGACGCCTGACGCCGCTGACGCCCGCAGGAGTTCGAAGGCACGAGCCACTGAAACCAGGCTCTGGATTGCGAGTCCTCGGCCGAGCTGCTCAAGCACGGTGAGATGGTGGTCACCACCTGGGCCCAGCTTCAAGGGCTCACGTGCTGACAAAGAGGTCATTTTCCAAAGTGATGGACCCTTTTCTTGAAATCCTTGGTCGTAGAAGCGACCATGCTCTTGCAAGCAATACGCCGGGATATACGCTTTATAGGCATTTTAGGAGTTGCAACTGCCACCGCAGCTCACCGAGCGCAGCATCCCAGCGAGGCGCGGGCTGGGCAAGTTCAGGGCCGGAAGCCCCGACGTCTCCTAGCACTCCAAAGAAGCTCTAAGACCTGCATCACACAAACGCACATGTATTGTAATACAGTGTTTTTGTACCGCCATGTAATGTATGTACACTTGATCGATTTCTGGATTCGTGACGGCTTCCGGCCGAAAGGCGTTTAAGAACAGACCAGGATCCCTCCCGCCCGCAAGGCATGCCCGAAGCTTAGAAAAGTCGCAATCCGTTGCTGCGGGGGTTTCAGGCTGTGGGTTCTTACAGAGACGCCAAAAATCACGATGACCCGTGGACCCCGCCCCTGGACCGACCCGAAACCTTTGCTGGGACCCTTGGAATTTTCGCTGGGACCTCCTAGGACCGTTGCGAGCCTTTGGCCCCCTTCAAACCCCACTCAGTGGTGCTGCCTTCGTCTGCGATGCGCTACACCTCGCGTTGGGCCAGCCCGGCTGCCGAGGCGGCGCACGCGAGCGTTTACCGGTTTACAATGGCCCTCTGAGCCCGGTACCTCGGGGACACCTGGCAGAGCCGCATCGGCCTGTGGCATAAGAGGGCCAGGACGAAACATAAAAGTCGTAAGAGCCTTCAAACGTTGGGCCAACTTGGTTTAAGGGGTTGTTTAAGGACTCATGAAGGCCGGGCTTTTGGGAAAACGGTACAGGCGCACATCTCCTTCTCCAAAGGCCATAAAATGGCCATGGACACGAGAGCATCAACACAGGAACTCCCAGCAGAGGCCTCTCCATCCTGGGGGCGCCGGCCGGGCTCCGGGGCCTCGGTGGACATCTCTTCTAAACCCTAAACCCTAAACCCTAAACCAAATAACCTTGTAAGTCCAAGGGCCTCCAACCTCGGAGGATCCTTGGGATCCTCCAGGGGCTCCCCGGGATCCTCAGGCTCGATGGCCTCAAGCACCACGGGACCACGGGCAGCCCAAGGCATTTTTTGTGGAGTTCCGATAGGGCTTAGGGTTGAGGGCTTCTTTCCTTTAGGGGAAACGAAGGGTTGGGTCGGGGGGGGGGGGGGGGGGTTCGGGCTCTCTGGCCGCTGGCCTTCGCTGAGGGCTCATCGATGATCTTCTTGGCCTCGATGCGTAGTCGGCATCAGCCGAATGTTTGCGTGTTGTTCTTTTCTTGCAGGCCTCCTCCTTACTAACGCCCAGAAACCCTAAGCCTCAACGAGGGTTTCTTGGCTTCAGCATAGAGGTCTGAGGCCTCCAAAAGGGCTCTGGGGGAGGGGGGGGAAGCTCTCTCGGGACTTTGGCTAGGCTTCGGACGGCAAAGCAGCAGCAGAGGCGGCGAAGCGCCATCGCCCAAGGGAGGCGTTTTTGCTCCCGGGCTTGGCATTGAGTAATTCAGCATGGAAGGTTTAAGGGCGCCCGACCTTTCTAGGCTTGTCCGGGTGGCGCTGAAAACCTTAGCTACTTGAGGATTAGCCGAAGTTCGGCTCAAGAACTAGTATGTTTTTGTTGCTGCGCTTTTTTGTGGGGAGGGGGGCATCGGGGAAATGTACGGCCGGGGTCTGGGTAAATTGCATGGGGATTTCAACGGCCATGCCATCTCTGAGGCGAGCTGTGAGAATGATGGGCCCCGGGTCCCACAAGCAGCACTTCAAGGCTATGCCGCTATGTCTGGATTCTCCTCACATGCCCAAGAGACCCGAAAGAAAATAACAAAAACAAAAGTGACCCCGTACCCACAACGTGCCCCGCCCGCGCACACCGCAGGCTCCACAGACTTCACGGCACCCAATGCCCAAGGGTCTCCTGTTTCTCGGCATCGTCCTCTTTGTCCGCCTGAACGGAGCTCTCAGAAGGGGCCCCGAGCCTGGAGAGCCTTAGCCTCGGGGTCAAAAGGACCACCCTTCCTTTTTGGGGGGGCCACGGGATGCTCTGTAAGAGAACTGCTGTGGAGAGCCTTCATGTTGGAGGCAGGAATGGCCAGCAGGACACGGCGGACGTAGTCCTCAAGCCCCGCCGAGTTGACTTGAGTCACGGAAGAGCTGAGGTTTGTAAGGAGCCATTCAGAGATCATCCCAAAGCTTGGGACGAAAGGCGAAGCCATCGATGTGTTCCTGGTCTAGCGCACAAAAAACCGGCGCACCTCGAAACCGAGGTCCACCATCTTGTCTGCCTCACAGAATCTCTGAGATAGGAGGTTTACGGGTTCATTGAGGGCTTCAGGCAATTCAGTTCAGGCCTCATCAATGACCACGTAGGTGCACTGGTTGAGCACCGTGTGCCTCGCTTACCCCACGTCGCGCGAACTCGTTGAGTCTTGAGCCCTGACGGAGCACCTCTTGTCGAGGGAGTCGCAGAGACGGCCGGGCGTGGCCTGCAGGAGGCGTTTTCCTTTTTGGCTTGATGGCCTTTTAGGGCCATGTGGGTTTCGGAGCTCTTAGGTGTTCAGGTTGTGGGGGGGGGGGGACACGGGTGGTTTATGGGATTCTTCCTTTCAGGTTCTAACCTAGACCCCGAACCGTTAGCCACTTCCCAAGCAGGTTCCGAGGCCTCATGTCAAGCCACTAGCTTGAGCTGTTCAATAGTCGAAGGGGAGCCCCAGCGCACGCAGCGCTCTTTCTGCTGAGCCGAGGCCTGTGCCGAGCCCAGCAGAGGCCCTGAGGTGCCCGCCATGCACATCTCCACACCCTGGCGCAGGGTGAAGGCCTGGCCCAAAGAGGGTTTAGGGATTTTAGGGAGGGCAGTTTAGGGAGCGTTTGAGATTTTGGGGGCTTGGGTCTCCTTTGCGAGGGTCTGAACGCCGAAACTCCGAATTGCTCGCCTGCTGTTCGGCATCTCTGCCGCCCACGACACTGACCATGCGGCAGTCGCAGAAGGCTGCAAACTTCCGAGCCTGCAAGGGGGTGACGCTGCGAATATCCGAACGGTTGGGGGCAGCCCAAACCCTTCAAACCCTTCAAACCCTTCAAACCAAATGGCATGTAAGTTCGCATGTAAGTTCGCATGTAAGTTCGCATGTTGCTTCCCTCTCCTCCTCCTCGATTTGGATGACCAACTCACGGCTGGGTGCCAGAACGATACCATACGGGCCATCCTGGTATCGGAATCTTACAGGGTCTTATCACTTAGATCCACTTAGGCTCTTAGGCTTCATGGGCTCTAGGGGAATTTTGGGCTTCAAAAACGCAGTTGTAGAGTGTAATATAAAGGGGCTCCTGCGCGGACGTGTCGTCCAGCTTTGGAAGCTTCTTGACGTAGGACCTTGAGAACACTCAGGGCTACAGGAAGCACTTAAGGTGTCCAGAAACTATACGGCTAGGGTGAAGCCGCAATGCAACGAATCCACAGAAGCGAAGCTCAGCTGGCTTCTCCCATGATGCCCCGGCGCATTCATCGTGCAGCCGCGCAGTGCCCGTGACTGGCGCTTGGTGCCAGGCAGCATCGGAAGAACATAGGCTGCTGTCTTGCCGCTTCCGGTCCTGCGACGGCGCGGCACGCGAACTGCGAGCGGATCCCATGCCACCCAAGGTACATGCGCTGAGAAGCTGGGCAGCTGGCTCTGCTACCGCAATAAGATCTCGGCACTGGCAGGCAATTGGGATGGCCTCGGCGCAGCTTCCCCGCATTCAGCCACGGAGGGCGCAGCTGGTGACAAGCGCATCAATATGAAGGCAGGACTAAGCCACAGACCTGCATCTGGATAGGCGTAGGCCTGGCGTAGCCCACCTGGCTTTATGCCAAAACAAGAATAGCTATGGTAAGAGTATGTAAGAAGAAGCAGGATAGCAAAAACCAGTATAGTACCGTCCTAATCCTAGATCTAAGTGTTACTAGAACAAGTACTACTTCATACTTGCAAGCCTCATAATAGTAAACACAATAGTCAAAGCGACACTACTGGAAAAGGATAATACGAACAAAGATTGCAATAGAAATAGCAACCGCAATCATACACCCAGGTCCAGACCCATGCACAAAGTTACAAACCAGCGCAACAGTAAGAGTCGCAATAGCAATCGTAATGGTAATAATAAAGGCAGAGCAATCATTGCCGCAATAAACGCAAATGTCAAAAATGAGAGCCATAGATATAGCAATAGCAAAACAAGGACAGGTATAAATACCTCTACGACTAGTACGAACTGATGATGGCGATCTTCGGCAAGCACCAGCATAAACTTCCAGCGAGGAGAGAATGAACAAAGTGGTTTCGACCCTGCCTTCTGAACGGCCTCGAGCAGCTCCCATGGCAGCGGACCCTCGGACCAAACCCGCATGGGCACCGGCCTCACGCGAGGCAAGGGGTCTCGCGTTGAAGGGATGAAGGGCCTACGAGTAGGATTCTGGGCACCGAGTGTATCCAAAGGCAGGCGCAAACGGAAGCTTTGAGCCCGTCTTCACACATCGAAATTCCTCCCTGAGGCTGCTGCACACGGCCGCCGCGGATAAAGATCTGAAAGTCCTCTCTGTGAGGCATTGAAGCCTAACCCCAGAAGCTGTACAACCCTCAGCCCTCTCCTCGCGGAAGATGCGCCAGTCGCGGGTGGTCATCTCAGCCACCGGCTTCTCCGTCCAGTGAGTCTGACCAAGCATTAGAGCAGTTGTTCAGCAGGACTCGGGTTTGGGCCCCGGGTTTAGGCCTAAATTCAGGGGGTTGCCTTTTTGAAGGAGCGCCCTGGCCTTGTTGATGTCCTTGTCCTCGATATCTCGCTGCTTGAAGGACAAAGGCTCCTGATCCCCCCAAAGCCTCCCGAAACCCTCTGAGTTGTTCTTTGCCAGGTAAGGAGCTCTCCAACTACTGCTACGCTGCTACATCTAATCCAAGCCTTGGAGGGCTGGACGAAGGCGGACACGTCCTGATACAGCGGTTTGTCTACATTGTTTACACACTGCTTGCACTGCTTACACGACGTGTACTGTAGATTACAGTAGGGGCTTACTTGCGGCTTCAGAGTGCTCAGTAGCTGAGCTTTGGGGATCTTTCGCTTCGGGGCAGAAGGGGCCACAGCACCTCGCCAGAGTACTCGGCGCGCTTGGCGATGAGCTCTTCGTAGAAACTGAGAGCGCAGGGTTGACGAGAACAGCAGCGCCAAGCAATAACATGCTTTATTTCGAATATCCCCAGACCGGGCGAAGTAGACCGGGCATGGAGAAGAGTTGAGTTTAAATTCTAACAACCCCACACCGAGGGTGGGGAATAAACAGTACTGCAAACTGATGCACTTCAACCCCCCCACACCCCCTCATCTTGCCTATTGTTCTTGCGCTGCTCTCGGACGTCGATTCCGGCCCGATAGCCGCGACCTCCGGACCACAAGGGCTTCCAAGCTTGGACACAGAGCCTGGTTCAAGCATTACCCCTCAAACCCCCAGTGGCTTCTGGACTTCTTGGGGAGCTTTTAAAGCCTCATCCAGCCACACAACATCCCGAGGAAAAGAAGAAAAAAACGGCAACCTCAGTAGCTCAGGAGCTTCTTTGAGGACCGCGCCGAACAGCAGCTGCGGCTCCAGGCGCTTGGTGTAGAGCCTCCCATTAGTCTTTTTTGAAGTGGATGCTTTGGGGGGACTCTTTGCAAGGGCCGGGAAAAGGGGCGCAGAGGGACGGATCAACCCTGGACCCCACCCCAAATCCTCGACCTTTTACCCAAGCCACAGAGGCCGCAGACTCCCCCCTTTGAGCCCCAGGCGGATTGTTGTCGCCGCGCATGGTGTCGTCATCGGCGTTCCACCTGGGCCCAATTACGCCCAAGGACCATCGGCATGGTGCGATACCTGATACATTGATACATGATGACAATGATGACATATCCAGTTTTTGGAAGTGAGAACACATTCACACACAACGAACTTAGGAGGTAGCCGAAGTCCACTACCCTAAAGTAATCGCACAACCTCAGTCAACCTCGACTCTCAATAGGCCCCGCGAGAGTCAGTGACAAAGTGCTAGCAACGGGAGACAACAAGGAACACGCAGCAACAGGATCCTGGTCCTTTTGACCCTAGCCCCCTGCAATCGCATCAAAGTTGGAACATCGTTCATGTCAGAGTTGCTAGAAATTGCCATGTACAGGTGTGAACACACACACACGTATAATATCTGCATATATATATATGGTACCCCCCCCCCCAAAGATCTAGGTATTTTCATGGTTTTGGGATCTGTTTTAGGGTTTAAGGGTTGGGGGTGGGGGGCTAGCTAAACATGTAAAACTCAATATGGACATGTGAATCTTGATATGTGCGAGTCTTCATATGTGCGTGGTCGTCTTTTCAAATTGTGAGCCCGATTGAAAACGATTGAAACGATTGAAATTCAATCGGAGACCGGATTGAAGATTGAAGATTGAAGATTCCCGGAAACCTTTTTTCTGGGAATCTTCAATCTTCAATCTTCAATCCTGCCCCCGATTGAATTTCAATCGTTTCAATCGTTTTTCAATCGGGCCCCCGATTGAAAAACGATTGAAACGATTGAAATTCAATCGGAGACCGGATTGAAGATTGAAGATTGAAGATTCCCGGAAACCTTTTTTCTGGGAATCTTCAATCTTCAATCTTCAATCCTGCCCCCGATTGAATTTCAATCGTTTCAATCGTTTTTCAATCGGGCCCCCGATTGAATTTCAATCGTTTCAATCGTTTTTCAATCGGGTTCACGTCTTGTAAAGTGTCAGAATTAGCTTTCGTGACGTCGCTCAAGATCACGTGTCTTCGCAGACATTCCACTCGAAATATACTTGACCATTTGTGTTTGTAATACTCGCAATGGCTCGCATCCCAGTGGCTGGCTCAGTCTTATGGTTTTTATTGGTTTTTGCGGTGTTTCGGGAGCGTGGGTCCCACGCTAAAAATCGGTTTTACCGATGTTTTTGAAAGCCTACCTTCAAAATAACATCGGTAAAACCAATGTTTTTGAAAGCCTACCTTCAAAAAACATAGGTAAAACCAATGTTATTGAAGGCCTACCTCTAAAAAACATCAGTAAAACCGATGTTTCGTGAGCCCATGCTCCCAAAACATCGCAAAAAAAACAATAAAAAAAAAAAAAAACATGTCAAAAACCATGATTTTCGAAACTAGTGGCTGGGGTGGCCGGCCGAGTAGTTTCAGAAACCATAGTTTTTATGTTTCTTATTGGTTTTTGCGGTGTTTCGGGATCGTGGGCTAAACCTTTAAGCCCTGTAGGCTATACGGTTAAGGTTTAAAGGTTTAGGGTTGAAAAGTTCAACAGTCAGCCCATAGAGTTTAAACCTTAAGGGTCCTAAACGCTTAACCTTTAAACCCTATAGGCCATAGGGTTAAGGTTGAAAGGCTTAGGGTTTAAGATTTTGGCATTAAAACACAAGCCCATAGAGCTTAAGCCTTAAGGGTTTAAGGTTTCAGCATTGAAACGATAACCCTAAGCCCTTTAGGGTCAGAACCTTGAAGCCCTGTAGGGCTCTAAAACGTTAACAGGGTTTAACCCTATAGGCGTTGAATGTATAAATGCCCAGACATTACGCTCTCTTTAACCTTTCAGCCCTATAGGGTCTAAAGGCTTAGGGTATTTCTTAAGCCCTGAGGGTTTAAAACCTTAAGCCCTCAAGGTGGGCTTGGGTTTAAATGCCTAAATCTTGAATCCTAAACCTTTAAACCTTAACCCTATAGCCTATAGGGTTTAAAGGTTAAGCGTTTAGGCCCCTTAGGGTCTGAACTCTATAGGCTTACTTTTAAAACCTAAACCCTTAAACCTTGACCCTATAGCCTATAGGGTCTAAAGGTTAAGCGTTTAGGCCCCTTAAGGTTAAGGGTCCTAAACGCTTAACCTTTAAACCCTATAGGCCATAGGGTTAAGGTTGAAAGGCTTAGGGTTTAAGATTTTGGCATTAAAACACAAGCCCATAGAGCTTAAACCTTAAGGGGGGTCCAAAGGCTTAGGGTATTTCTTAAGCCCTGAGGGTTTAAAACCTTAAACCCTTAAGGTGGGCTTGGGTTTAAATGCCTAAATCTTGAATCCTAAACCTTTAAACCTTAACCCTATAGCCTATAGGGTTTAAAGGTTAAGCGTTTAGGCCCCTTAGGGTCTGAACTCTATAGACTTACTTTTAAAACCAAAACCCTTCAACCTTGACCCTATAGCCTATAGGGTCTAAAGGTTAAGCGTTTAGGCCCCTTAAGGCTTTAACTCTATGGGCCTGCTATTGAACTTAAACCCTAAACCATTAAACCTTAGCCCTATAGCCTATAGGGCTTAAAGGTTAAGTGTTTAGGCCCTGTACGCTAAGATTTACACTCGATGGGCTTAGGTTTAAATGCCTAAATCTTAAGGCCTAAACCTTTTAAGCCTTAACCCAAAAGGGTTTTACGGTTAAGGGTTCAGGTTTAAATGGCGGTTAAATCTTCAACTTCACATCGCCTCCGGGCCCATGCAAGTATTCAACTTGATATCGCTAAATCATGAAAATACCTAGATCTTTGGGGGGGGGGGTAGCATATTTATATATATATATCTATACATATATGTATATAATATATATATATACATATATGTATGTACTTGTTATGTATTAAAAACATGTGGATATGTATAGGGCTCCGGCTCGAAGTTGAAGATGTTCCTAAACTTTTCAGACGGCTTCTGCATCTTCTTCTTGTTCTCCTGGCGTGGAAGCGGGCCCCAAACCCTTCTGCCACCCCCAAGGACCTCAACCCTCGAGCGCCTTCATGCCAAGATAGTGGCGCTTGATCAGCTCCAGCTCCTGCGTCGGCTTGAGGATTTGGGGCTTGCCGACGCGCACCAGACAACACGTGTCTAACCAGATTGAGGCGGGCCCACACAATTCCAAACTGAGGGCTTTCGTCGGCTCATGGATGGGCCTTCTCGGCTTGTCGCTCGCGGCGCTCTTGGTCCGGAAGCTTCCTGGTGCTATTTTTTTGGGTGTTGTTGGATCCTCCCACTAGACAATCTGCGAACCTCCAAAGCACCTCAGAACCGCCTGATCCTGGATTCAAAATGTCACCGGCTCCATGCTGGAGGTATGCAGGCAGGTGGCAGCAGGTTCATCTCCGCCAGGGAGCTCGTCTGCATCAAACCTTCCTGGCCGCAACATGAAAGTCTTCGAGGTATAGAAGCTTAGAAGGCTTGAGGCTCCGCAGTCAGTGCCTCAAAAGTCACCTCCAACCCTCCTCAACGAACGGCCGCCCTGCCTTCTCCTCGCGCTGCTTCAGTCGTTCCTTCTCGCGCTCTTCGCGCTCGCGAGCACGCCTTGATTCCAACGCACACCCTAACGCATGGCCCACTTCCATGTGGGAACCAGGCCACATCTGAAGCAACTCGGGTCAAGGAAAGATGAGCTAGCGCCTGAAAACACTGACAACTGCAACTCATCGCAGGCCACGCGGTAACACCTTAACACGACCCTTTGTCATGCAGCCCTTAAGACCTGCTGAGCGAGGTTGGGTTCGAGGTTCAGGCCCTCTGCGAACTGAGCTGGGATGCCGGCTCTTCTTCTCGGCGCTTGCGCTCCTTCTCGCGCTCTTCGCGCTCGCGCTGGCCTTGCAGCGCACGCTGAACGCGGAGGAACAGAAGAACCCCCAAGAATCGGCCCCTGAAGTTCTCTCCAGAGGCGCCGACGCTCGCGCTCTCGCTCAATCTCTTCTTGAAGCAGGAAGTCCTGACAGGACCGTACACAAGTGATTCCTCAGAGTGTTTGCTCAAAGTTTCTCTGTTCCTTCCTCTGGTCCTGCCTATCCATTTCTGCCAGGCACTGGGAAAAACGGCGGTCCATCCTCTGTTTCAGAGGGCGCCATTCTACAATATGCGGTGCGAGGTCCTATAGGTGCTGGGTTACATTCCATTGCACCACACTTACTGAGGCGGCTCTTGCGCTTCCTGTTTCACTTGTCTCGCGGCCGCACGCTGTTGCTGCCGCTCTTTGGTCACCACCATCCTCTTCACCCTCCTGGCATTCCAGTCTCTCACCTCCTCCCAGCAATCCCACACGACTTCGCCAGACTGTGGGATGTATACCTGTCCTTTACGCCCCGCACGGCTTGCTTCCTTGTGGTTGGCAGCCGACCGCGAGAAGGTTTGGTCCGAATCGATGGGCTGGGCGACGAACAGTGGGGCCACCCGCTCTTCTTTGAAGATTACACGTGCGCCCCCAACAACCTTAATTCCATCGCTTTCCCGGTGAGTCCAGACCTGATAGTTCGGCGCTGGGACCAAATTGGCCGGCTGGGTGACCACAGGCGTGTGGTGGTTGCGGTGACCGCCTGTGCGCCGAGGTGGGGCTGCCGCGGCTGTCACGTTCTGAGCAAGGCGCGGTCGTGGGTCCGCATCGGGGTCGACGACACCACAGACGAGCATGTTCTTGGTATCAGCGAAGCCCCTGGAGAGCCAGTAATTACCGGGCATAGCTGTGTAGATCCCAACCCCGTGGGCCGAGCCGTTTTCGACTCGAACGCCACTGGCTGCCGAGGGCACCCGGAGACCCTGGCTCAAGATGGAGGGGATGTTTGCAGCCCGGGTGCCGTGGTACCCGAAATCTGGAGAACCGTGCGCATTGCACTCTTGCAAGAACTTCTCCTGTATCTTGGGGGCCACGTCTGCAGGCACGAGTTTGTAACCCGTGCCCAGCTCTTGCTGAAGAGTTGGACCATGGTCTTCAAGAAACTGCCCACGCATGGCCTCGAATCGGCTTTCGTTCAAATTTGGCTTAGGATGCTTCGACTTTGGGTCAGTGGTGTCCTCAGTGTCCTCCCAAGCTTCCCTTGCCTCAGCCTCCGCATCTGCCACCGCCAAGGCTTTCACTTTCACTTCCGCCTCGCTGGGAATACGTCGCCGCAGCAGTGCATCGTCCACACGCCACCGCGTTTTTGGCGGGGTGCAGTAGCGGGGGGGCTCCGGCACGCGTCGGATCGCGGGCTCCTGCACATCCGCTGCCGTACCGATGCTGCCGTGGGCGGCCGCCTCCTTCTCGTCCCAGACGTCCGTCTCTGTCCGCTCCATGTCACGCACTGGGATGCTCGCAGGTCCGGCAAACGGAGCCGAAGGAACCGCGCGCTGCGCCCTGGCGGGGGCGGCGATGGTGACGGGAACGCTCAGGGCTTTCACCAACCTTCGTGGCGCCATCGATGCAGTCAGTGCAGTCGATGCAGCTGATGGAAGATGATGCCCGCGAAGCTCCTGCTCCAACTGCCTTGCGAGATGATGGCTGCCTTGTAGCTGGGCACGCTTGGAAGCTGGCAGGCCCAATGCAGCCGAGAGCTCATCTGCGTTCTCAACCAGCTCAGAGAGGTTGCATGCGCCCTGCTCCTGCGCCCAACGCTTTGCGGAGAGGGCGTAGGCCTCCAAGCCCAAGGCCTTTAAGAACTTCGACAGGCCGGGAACGGGACTTTCGCTCTCGATGTACGGCGGATTGACTCCAGGCCCGACAGTGCTGTAGCGAGTCAGTGCCGGGGCCGGCGGGGCCGGCACGGCCGGGGCCGGCGCTGCTCGGAGCAGACGCAGGCCTTGTCTGGCCGGCGTGGCCCAGAAAGGCTGCGGCTGCTGTGCCAACTGCGGCTGCTGCCACTGCCGCGGCAGCTGCCGTGCCTGCTTGGCACAAGCAGGGCTGACATCGAATGCACTACAGAAGCCCACAATGCTCAACGATGTTCAACGATGCTCAACGGCCCAAATTGCCCTGGACCGCAAAAAGTCACACTCTTAGGACTCTTATCTTCCCTTGCGCCTGGGCGTGCTGTGGCTGCTGTGGCTGCTGCGGCCGCTGCGGCTGCTGCGGCTGCTGTGGCGACTGGTAGGGTGGAGCGGATGCATAAAAAAGCACATGCCCCTTGCCAGGGCCCCCATGGTCAACCCTTGCGGGTGGTTGGAATAGCATCTTCACAACTCGCCGCCCAAACCCAGAGAGCCAGACAGGTGCGGGGATGAAACAGAAAGCTTAACTGCAGAAAGGCTACCTTGCAGCCTCCACCTGCCAATAAGTCGCCCTCTCCCGGCCTTTCTTCGCTTCGAGGCCTCCTCTGCCTGACCAAGACATTATGAAGGTGCGAAGGCGTGTGAACGGTGCAAAAAGGGTTTAAAGGTGCGCTCGGAACTCACCATGAACTCAAAGCAACGAACAGAGCAAACACACTTCGGCCTTCTTCTTCTGTTCGGCCTTTTGCTTGTCTTGCTCTTTCGCCGCGTTCCTTTTCGGGGCATTGCCAAGATGCTCCCGAAATCCGAATCTGCAAAGAAACCAAAGGCGAAGGCACGAAGATGGCTCAGTTCGGCACTTTTCGCGGTCATTCTTGGATACAAACTTCAGCTTTGGAACCTATGCAGGGCAATCTCAACTCGGCATACGGGTTCCTCGAGCTCAGTGCTGGCCTTGCTTTCCTCCTTCCGCTTGGCGAGCACTTGCTCCAAAGACATGACCTCCCAGCGAGGTGTAAGTCCAAACTCCACAGACCCCCCGGACACCCTCCCCTCAAAAGACCCTCACCGCTCCTAAGCATCCCCCAGGCTTGGCCCACTGACTCCTCGAACCCATGGCCCCTCATCTGCCTCGCCCTTGTCTCCCTTTTGCCGCTTGGCCTCGGCCTCGGGGCCTCACGGGAGACTTGCGGGGGGGCCGTTTCGCTGGGGGGGGGGGTTCAGGGGGTTCAGGCTTGAGGTGGAGTCGGGGTTCGATGTAGTGCTTCATAGAATCAGAGGTGATGCTGGGTCGATGGTGCGTCGCTACCCCACGATCCTTTTGGCATTTGCCAGCGGTTCCCAAAATCAGGGTACCCCCCCTTGGCAAGGGGCCAGACTGAAAGCCACACCACAAAGGCAGAGCCTTTTGCTGCGCTTCTCTCTTTCATTTCCGCCAGGGATGTGGGGCTTGTGAGAAGTTGCTGGCGGGCTTCAAGCATGTGCGGAGACTCTGAACTGCGTTTAGGTGTCTGGGCTCATGGTTTGGAGTTGTTTGTATGGTTTTCGGAAGCTCACATGCTTGAGGTCTTGACGCGTCGGTATGCTGAGGCGAGGTCCATCGCTTTTTCTCTTGGCATCCTCAGAGCACCCAGGTTCCAAGAGATAATCATGGGAGATATCGGGAGTGCAAGGAAGCCAATGCATATTGCCCTGGTGTATTAGGGTTGAGAGGCCGCGTCCCCGCGTCTCCGCGTCCCCGCGTCCCCGCGTCCCCGCCTCGGCCATCCTGTATCCAGGGCAGGGCTACCTGCGGTGAACAATGTCCGTCTCATTCCTCTTCTAAGCACACATCTCAACTTGAACGTTTACCGATGCAACATAAACAAACATAGAAAGCGGAGACCGAGACTGCACAAGTATAAGTATACAGATATATATATATATATACCTATCTATATAGACAAGAATCTGACATCCGACTCGGCAACAGCGACAGCATAGCAAGTTGTCTACTTCGTCCAAGACCCTTCACCTCTGCGCTCATGTCCCGGGAACCCAGCCTGCACCCGCTGCGCCTGCCGCTGGCCTGGCCTTAAAGGGCCCAGCGCCAGGCAAACCCTGGACCCCCCCTTGGTAGCCAAACTCTGCAAGGCAGGAGCTGCCCAACTCTCAGACGAAAGGGAGAGGGAGAAAGAGGGTACAAGAGGGAGCAAGACGGAGCAAGAGGGAGCAGGAGAGAAAGAGAGATCGAGCAATTCCACCTCTGCTTCGCCAAGAGCACGATGTGCTGTGCAATGCCTTTTGGTGATTCTGTCAGGTGAGCGTTGCTCCAGAGCCCTTGGGGCGACCGTCAAAGGCATCTGCAGCGCATCAGATTTTCTGAAGCTCAGATGCCCAGAAAAGCTTCACCTTGACTGGCAACTGCCAGGGAAGGGAAATTCTAGACACGAGATGTGTATGATGTGACAGATGTGCCGTCGGTAGACGGATCAGGCAAGCTGATCTAGACCCTCGCATGGCCATCCAGCCATGTCCAGCAGCAATGTCAGGCCCCTTTGAGGCCTGACTGCGGCAGACTTGACCTGGACTCCGTGCAGAGGCAAGCATGAAAATCATTCGGGCGAGCCTTGTCAAGAGCATGGCAAGCCGCCAATTGCAGCACGAAAGACTCGGCTGATATCCTTTTCTCAGCGGCCACGGTACAGAAACAAAAGGACACGCCTCGTCGCTTGGTCCGTAGCCTTTCGCTCGGTCTGGTTTTCCAAAAGGTTCGCCCATCGTTCAAACATACCTTCTATCTGATTCCATCTCGCTCCCTCTATGACTCGGTCCGTTCTCGGCCAGGGTTGAAGGATGGGGTTACCCAAAAAGTCAGTGCATCACCGGTGGCGCGAGGTGCTTGTCGATGCGGAGGGGCATTTCTGAAATTACAGAGCCTGCACACAAAAGGTTACATAAGACCCGAAACTTAAAGAAAAAGCGGTGCTCCAAAACAATCCCGCGAAGCGCATGGAGCACCCGCCTTTGCTGTTGCTGCGGTCAAGGTCCTGGAACCTCAACAATCACCATGATTTTGAAGCTGCCAGCATGTCAAGCATGGTGGCCCCCAAGTGACTGAGGCCCCTGGCCCTTGGCCAGAGACTGTCTTGTGCAGAATCTTCAAGCGGGTGCTGATTTCCTGCAGCGTCGGCTTGGAGTTGCTTGCAGGCCGGAGCCTGAGGGCCTGAGAGCCTGAGAGCCTGAATGTCTCTTGTGCCCTCGAAGATTTTGAGAACCCGTCGCTCCTTGGTGGGGGAGCGCTGGCTAAAGGTCCGCGACTCCGTCCCGGTGGACACAACTACCTTTAAGAAGTGACGGAGCTATTTTCCTTCACTTAGGAGAAAGCAGGTGGCGGTGTTGGGCACCAAATTGATCTGAACCGATACACAGCCTCGCGGTTCGGGAAGGTTGCTCTGCACACCACCTCCAGACCCAAATGAGCTGAGGCAGCTGGGATGAACTAGGGATGAACTAGGGATGAACTAGGATGAACAGGCTGGAAGAGCATGCGATGTGGCGAGATGAGAGCGGGAGCGGGCACGCTGCCTCGCAGAAATCCTTGAGGTGCACGGAAGCCTCACCCGAACGCCCAGCAGTGCTTGTGTTTGTGTTTGGGGCTCCGGCTCAGCTGTGTTTGGCCTTGCCGCAAGGGCTTCCATCTTGGGAGACGCGGCCGATCATGTCCTGGCCAAGGCAGGCGTGTCAAGCTTTGTCAGCTAATAACACTCTGCATTCGTTCATGTCTTACTTCTCACTTACACTTGTTTCCGTGGAAACGCTGCCACATCGAGCGTATTCCGCAGCCGTGTGCCTTCCTCCTTTGTCAATAGTTCAAGCATCGGCTTACCCAATTTCTGTTCGGGCAAGGTCGCACAAGACTTTGCAGAAGCGTGTCTGCTGAGAGAGATTCTGCAGTGTTTCTCGGGTTCCATAATGCACCGTGGCCTGGGTTCGCGCCGGCAGCTTCTGGGAACGTATTCGCTGTCTACTACTCTGAGACGGCATGCCGTGAAAACAAGATGTTGAGCCACCATATCCCTGTTCGGGTCTCAACGTGTTTTGGGTCCCCCGTGTTCTTTGGCCCAGTGCGTTGGCTCCTTCACCTCCTCGTCGGAGAAGCTAATTGGAGTAATCTCACGGAAGGCAGCCTGCGCAAGAGCACTCGCAGACCCATATCGGCCTGTGTGTGTGTGTGTGTTGCTGCTTAAAGCGCCTTTCTACTTGAAGTAACCCGGGGGACCCGTATGAATGCCCGCCTTCAGAGTGAATAGATCTCATCTAGTAAACGGCGCTTGCCTCAAGGGTGTCGACCTCGATGGACTCCTTCTCGCCCGCAAAGTAGCGGAAGGCACACCTCGCGCTCAACGCGCTGCTCCCAACAGCCCCGAAGCGATCCTCCCTCCTCTTTTTAGGGTTCGGGGTCCGCGAACGATGAAGACCCTAAAGGCTCCGAGTGGCTCAAGGTCGCCCACTGCCCGCAGCCGGTCCGAGCGCAAGGAAGCCTCCCAGTGGGGACAAGGTTCTGGGATGAATGTACTCTGTATTTTGATGGTGTGCTTTCGGGTTCTTTAGGTTCTCTTGGTGCTCGAGGAGGTTCCGGAAAAGGCTCCCTGGTTGAACCTTATGGAGGCAGGCCCGCCTCGTAGGCACGCAAGAAGTTCTGGAAGGAAATCCTTGTCACGGCATCGAAGGCCAAAGTCTACTAGTTGAAGCCTGCAGCCATAATCCCAGACAAGAAGCTGCTTGTTGGGGAAGCAGTCGACCAACAGCTTCGGCACCTCGATTTTCAGCGTGACTGGGGTCAAGAGTTTGTCTGGAAGGCTTCGGAAATTCCCCTGAATTCTTTGTAGCTGCACACGGCGATGGGTTGCAACAACGAGCTTTCTGGCTAATGGCCGACGGCTAGTGGCACGGAGCGGAAAGCCTGAGCATCTGGCATCCACATGGAAGTTGCAGCGAAGGTCCAAACCTTGCTGTGAGAAACAATGAACCACGGCAGTGCGTGGTTCGTGCCTTACGTTCACATGAAGCCACACGAGAGATCACGAGAGGCACTAGCCGACTTAGCCGACTTACCCGACTTGCCCTGCTCAAAGCGGACAGGGCATGGGCAGGCTTCTTCCAAATCTCGGCGATGGATGCACTCTTGCCGGTCGCGGTCGAAGAACCTCCATGCAAACCCGCAGCTCCGGCTAAAAGGGTTCAGGGCCTTTAGACTCTCTACGGCGGACTCTACGGCTTGGGTGGATTCTGGGCGACAGATTCTTCTTCCAGACTTTGAGGGTCCCAGTGCAGATTGAGCTGTGGCGGCGGCTCAAAGGCGTCCCGGAGCTCCTCGTCCGTCAGCGGGTGCACCTAGCAGTTGAGGGACGTCTTGGGGCTATTCAAGGCTAAGGCGGCTAGCGGATAGGTGTTAGATGGTTAAAGGACGTTCTGCCGATGCTAGAGGGCACACTGAGCTAGGGTTCTGGGATGTTCTAGATGGTGCCGGGCCTTCTCACGCCCCGCCACGCATTCCAACCACGCCCTGGCAGAGGGGTTTCGACTCACAGCAGGCCTGGGACTAAGGAGGCCTCAGAAGTCCGGTGACCCTTCTTGAGGGATAAAGTGGGGGGGGGGTTTCCTAGTTCAAGGTGTGTACGGTGGTCCCTGAATTAGCAGAGAAGATCCCAGGACCGAGGAAGCCTGGCACAGTCGCGGTGCTTCTCGTAGCCATCCTCGCAAGAAGCGCTGGATCTGGCCCCTGAAAGCCCTGAAGCCTGCGCCATAAACTCTTGCCTCAAGCTGTTACAATCTAAATTCTGGACCATTGGGGTCCTTGAGAATGAAGGTGACAAAGACGGGGAAGTGGTCCGAGGGATGCTCTGCATTGGGAATGACCTGGCGCGAGTGGACGGTTGTTTTTGAGATTTGGGCGTCCTGGTGTTGCAGTTTGTCGCTCATCTAAGGCTGCAAGCACGATGCGCTCGTACACCAGGGTTACCATGCAAGGACAGAAGCAGCGGAGCGTTTTCTCTCGCGGCCAGGTCGTTTCGGATGCGCCACAGAGCCCTTGAAGGCGTAGGAGTTTCGGATCTTCTCGAGGGTGATTTGGGCTCACGGAAACGGCCGAAGGCCCATCGCGGCAGCGATGCCTCTTCCAGATCCAGCATGACTTTCAGCTGTGATCCAGCTGCAGCTGCTTTCTTGCTCAGGGGGTTTTGCCTCACGATCGCCGACCGGCGGCGCCGGCTCCAAGATCCGAGAACCGTCGAGAACCCTTCGGCATCCCTCGGCGGAACCCCTCGCGTGGCGCTCGAAGCACCTCAAGTGAGCACCTCAAGTGAGCACCTCAAGTGAGCACCTCAGAGCCGGCCAAGAAAGCCCGAGCAAACGAGGTAGACCTCCACGCTCTCGCTCCTCGAGGCCCTCGGCTTGGCTGTTCGGACCTGCAACATGTTGGAACATGGAACATTACGAGGCGCAGGCATGCGTACTGTAAGGGGCTCTGAGGCCCGCAGAACGCGCATGAGCATGCGCAGCAGGTGAGATGTTCACAGCACGCGGCCTTGGCAAAGTGCTCCGCAAGCTGTGCTTTGAAGCCGTCCAGCGCCCCTCCTGCAAAGACCTTCGCAACCTGAGGGGCGGAGCAAGCAAGAGCCTCTTGTGCCCCAAGATTGCTTTGAGGGCCCAGGGATGCTCTCCAAGTAACGAACCAACCTTCGGCCCTGAGGAACTTCCTCAGTCCAGGAGTGGGATGCCCAAGCCGCTCTAAGATGCTCTAAGGCTCTCAGGTTCCAACCTCCAAAGCACTCCCCAACGCTCTCTCCAAGTTGAAAAGCCCAGCTTCAGGGCCCAGCGCAAGGCCCCCTTGCTCAGCTCCACTGAGGCAAGGTGGTCGTCGATGGAGTTCCCGATCATCTTCGGGGCCTCCAACAATTCCAAAAAGAGTTTAACGGGGGCCCTCAAGAGCCACCCCAAATTGCCCAACGCTCTCCGGGATCCCCACCAGATCCGACAGCACCACCGTGGCCTGGCAGAGCACGACAAAGCGACCGATTTTCACGGGTTGGGACCGGGAGCCATGTTAGCTCATTCCGCTCAGACACCCATACACAAGATTACACTAGGCACCGAAGTACCTCTGAAAAGAGAGCCTTGATGATCCTGATGCGCCCAAATTCTCAAAAGAAGTTCAGGGCTTTTGGTTGGGCTCTTTGATGTTTGAAGGGCTTGCCGAATGGATTTTACTTGTTCAGGGGCCCCTGCCCCAGCCTGGCGCCCGCAGAGGAGCGACTCCACTTGCCTACAAACGAGAACAGCGAGAAGTTTGTTCAAAGGCTCGGAAGTTGTATTTCTCGCATTGACCTTTGGATTGCCCTAGAGTTAGAGGCATTCCCTTGACTGGTCCCAAACCTCATGGTGGCAGCGTGGTCGATGTCCCCCTGAACGAATTGCTGCCCTTCCAGGGGCTCCATCATGACCTTGTCCTTCACTTGAACACGCGTTTGGGCTTCTAAAAAATTCTACACCGGTTTGTGAACATGGTTCCACAAAATGTTCCGCAATGTTCCCCAAGCGGCCACGCCAATCACCAGCGCGCCGCCGCGATGCCCTGCGGTACGCTGCAATGCCACCTGCGACCAGCCACCCGCATAGCAGCCCAGGTCCAACACGACAGAACTCCTTGTGAAGCATGCTGAAGCTGTGCTCTGCTCATGAAATCTTGCTCGAGCTGCTCATGTGGCTTGAGGGACCCCGTCCTATTCAAGAACTTGAACTGCGCGTCCAGCTGTTTGAGCTTGAAGGCGGCACGTGACCTGCAGACTGCCAAAACTACTGTACACAGGCCCGAAGCTCCTGAGACCCTGCCAATTCCTGAATCCACCCCTGCTCATCCCTTCTCTCAGTAAGTCGGCACCTGTACATCTGCTCGTGGGCACGCTGGACCCAACGGTCTTTGGCATGACGCTGTATCCACTGAAGCGTGTGGCCTTGTTGAGGTTTTTGGAGTCTGGTTTTTCACGACTTCTTCGAAACATTGCGAGTCTCCGCCTTTGCTTGCAAGGCAGCGTCGAGACACACTAGCCATGGCACTGGCCGAAACATGATAGCATCTCACACGGATAGTGTGCGATAGCAAATGTGCATAAGTTGCGCGTAGATGCCACACGAAAATCACAGTGTGGAATTGCTTTGCAACCTTCGCCCTTGCCAAACGCAAATACCAGTCAGCGTATTCTGGAAGGGGGAAGCTTTGGGCTGCGCGATGCGCAGCAGATCTTGTGCCACGGCCGGGCAGCGTCGTGATTGTAGTGACATTGCAGTGACAACAGGTGTCAGTGAGGTGCCAGTGACGAGCGGTCAGCGCGGCCTCCCCGGGGTCCAGCTTCGGAACAGGTAGGACGTCCAGCACCTGGCCACTAGCTGACCTCTTCTGCGTAATGCCATGTGACGTTGTTTGCGCGCTTGCGGCCTCCATATGGCTGCTGAGGTACTGGACCACGTCGATGCGGCAGTGCCGTGCCTGAGAGGATGGGGGGCATCACGTGCGCATGACACGTGCGCATGACAAACCTACGGGAAAGCTCGACATCTTTTGGGAGGAGATTCTGCGCCTTCGTCACGGACGTTGGTCCCGTGTTGACGTCTGTGGCGCCCCACAGGAACCTGCCCATGTATGTCCATGAAATCTCGTCACATCTTGTGACATTCAAGCCATCATGAGCCATAAGGCGATGACTTGTGCACGGGCTCCCCTTTGATCTGCCACACCTGGGCAACGCAAAGAGGTCTCTGGGTTAGATTCGTGCAGATGCAGACAGGTCTTGTGAAAAGAAAAGAGAGATGCAAGAGAGCCTAGGCGCAAATGCAGCGCTGCCTGTTGTTTTGTGCAGAGTCAAGCTTCTTTCCACTTGCAGGCAAACCGTTGGACTGTCGGATGTGTCACATGTGCAAGTAGAAGAAGCCTCTCAAAGAACGAAAACCAAGGTTCGAAGCTCTAAGGAATAAGGAACGGCAAGGACATCTGGAGCCAATTGCAAGAGGCAAGCACAGCAGCTCCGATGCAATCGGTTCGGCAAGGCCCCGGCAGTCCGTGCGATCCTTGGATCAAGGCTCTCTCACCTCCCTCCACGAGTCATTGGAAGTCAGCTTTCCTTGATGCCTTGCCTTGTCTCATTCTGGGTATCCGAGCCCCCGGATCTCCCCGAAGTGGCGTGCGTTGAGGTCCCCAAGCAGCACCACTGGGCAGTGCCTGGCCTGCGCATCATGCTTGCGCCTTTGCCTTTGTGTTTTCTTCCTCTGCTGGCACTGCACCCCGCCCCATATGCATCAAGGAAAGGGTGCCTGGTGCTTGGCGGTGAACTCGGTCAAGCTGGCCATGATCTGTGTCACCTCACAGCTTTTCCCTCTTGGGGAGACGTTTGGGGGGCCCCTCTGAGTGCGGCCTGCCGCACGCGAATGGCCGTCTGCGCCTTGTTGTACGGATCCTGCCAAGGCCAGGGCCGAGGGCCAAGAATCTACATCGTATCCAGAGAACAAGAGCTAGAACATGTGGAGAGAACGCGGATCCAAGCCCAAGCGCATCCTTGGCAAGATGCGTGGACACGACGACCAGCGGCAAGATGTGCTGGTTGGCAACACGCCACTTGAGCAGCACCTGCAGTCATGGAAAGAGTGCTGGACGACAGGAGAGGACCAGGGGAGGGGAGGTGGGGGGGGGCGGGGGGGTCGGGGGGGCCGAGACCGGGGGGTCCGGGGGGGGGGTCGGGGGGCAAGCAAGGAAAGGAAGCAACACGAAGAGACCATGTTCTCAGCAGTTGGCCATCACGCAGCTCCGGTCTCGCTTCTCGCGGCCTTTGTCCTGGCAAGCAAGGCGATGAAATTGGCGCTGCGGTGCATGACGGGATACTGAGTGAGGGCCAAAGCTCGCCAGGGCTGCGTCGTTGCCATCGACCATGTCGAAGCCCTGTCCCGAAGAAGGTCGAACGCTTAGGATATTGCATGACATTGCCAAGCCCGGCCAACACGAACCCCGCACGTCTACTTGTGGGCTAGGCTCTTTTTGCTGTGCCTTTGCAAAGGGTCTCCGATCTCCACAACATGTTCAAACAGCTTTGCCAAAAAGGCATCATGAGCTTTGGCGGCCATCCCATTTCTTACGCAGCTCTCCGCCCATCAAGTGGGGGCCTCGGAAGCCAGCTTCTCAAACTTGGACTTCCGCCAGAAGATGCCACATCCATCCGCAGACGAGGCCCTTGGCCGCTTTCGAAAGACCGAGTCCTGCGCCCCAAATGGTGGGTTTGGGGCCCCCTTTTTGTTTGCTTGAGGGCGTAGGAGCAGGGGATTCGAAACAGCGCTCCGGGGCCAAAAACTCTTTGGAGAGGGCTGAAAGAGTCAGCAGAATGCGGGGAACACCCGGGGATAACCCGTCTCAAATCGAGAACCCATTCCAGGAAAAACTCACGTTTTAGGCTTTCTGTAGGGGGGGACAGAATGCGGAGGGAGACGGAGAGAGGCGGAGAGAGCGGCCGAAGAGTCTGGTGCCCGGAGGGAAGTTCGGAGAGCACTCTTCCCCCCCACGGGGATATTTCGCAGCAGCAGCTGCCCGCTGCTGCTCTCTGCGCCCCGCCCTCCCCCCCGCCCCCCCGCCCAAAAAAACAAAAGAAACAAGGTGAAGAAGGAGAGAGAACGGAGTGATAGTGATAGTGATAAGATTTTCAAAAAATGAAAGCAGCGGTTTGGAGAGAGACAGACAGCGGGGAGAGAGAGAGAGAGCGACGGTCCCACTCGTCGCTGAGGCAGTCGGCAAAGAACTCGTGGTCATCGAGCTCCACCTAGCCAAAACGACCCGGGGTTGGTTTCTTCTTGCAGGCTCAGGGCGGTTTAGGCCGAGGGCTTCAGGGCTTGAGGTTTTTGTGTGCTTAGGCCGCCACCAGGGACAGAACATCCGGATCCATGATCCCAATCTGCCTTAAAGAGGGTAAAAATCTGGTCAACGCCAGGGCGAAGCCCCAATCGATAAGGGGCGAGCTCCAGAAGCTTCTGCCGCCGGAAGTCCCACCTTGCATCGGAACTTCTAGATGCGGCTGTCGCGTGCCACCCGAAATCTCCAAGCATCAAAGGGCCTGAAGAAGGCGTCGTACCGCTCCACCTCCGCGATCTCCTCGGCGCTGAGGATACCTGGCCCGAGAACCTCTCCGTCACCCTCTTCGTCATCCACTGACACGGCAGTCCAGAATATAATTCATTTCATTAAGATGTCATTGTATGTCGCCTGTCACGTAGTCTGGCCACGCGTGCTTCGGCCTGTTACAGGTGCAACGCAGGGCAAGCCGCGCCAAGCAGCGCTCCTGGCCGCTCTGAGGCCCAGGCGTGCCATCCGGGCGCCGCTCGTTGAAGCAGGCGAAGATCTTCGCGCGCTCCTCTTCGCAGGAGAGCTGACGCTGGCGGAATAAAAGGGGTGCTTTCACAAAAGCCTCCGCATCGATGTCAGCACCGTAGAGAAACCAAGGTTGTGTGTTCTTGCCCAGGTACCTGCACGGAAGAGCTCAACAGTTACAGACCATGCTTGCTGCCCACAAGAGGAAGGGATGCTCCACATGGGAGGTCGCTCTTTTGATGCTCTTTGCACATGCTGCGGAAACCCACTCCCCCACAATGACTGGTGAAACTACGACTTAAGTGATTCGAACTTAAGAGCTCTGAAAGGCGCACGAGGCCAAAATGTTGTACTGCATGACGGAGACCGTGCGGCGAACATCCTTCTGAACACCCTCCAGCACCTAGCCAAGAAAGTCTCAGCATGCAGGGCGCACACAGCTTGACTGGCTTCTTAAAACTCGAAACACTGCGCAGACGACTTGGGGCTTAGCACTGTCCATCTACAGTGTACTCCAGAGCCCAGCAAGAAATGAGATTTTAGGGGTGCAGCGAGAAGTCAGAACAAGGTCAGCAAACCCCTAAACTCCCAAACTGCCCAACGTGGCTTGTGGTTTGCTCCCGCAAAGCCAAACAACTGAAGGGGGCGTCAGCCCTGTTCCGTCTGGCTCTTGCAATGGGCACTTAGGGTTTAAACTGCCCAACTCCCCAAGCGCTCCCCTAAAACGCGAATAATATTCGTGTTTTCTGTTGAACAAAACGGGCCAATCTCTGGTTTTGTGGCAAAAACCTCATATGGGTTCCATATCCCTGCCTTCGTCATCTGCTGCAGCTGCTGGGCCTGCCACTCACTTGGCCCGAGGATCAACGACGAAGTCCCCCCTTGAACCATGACACCCGACAGTTCTTCGGACTCCAAAAAGGGGGTTTTTCTCAAGGCTTCTCTTTCATAGGATCCGCTGGGATACTGACACATGAAAGGAGCCTGCCTGCAAAAAGAAAAAGCGTGGCGCCTGCTGCTGGACCATGGACTCAAGCGCCTGCACGCGTAACGCCAGGGCCTCTGCGGCGGGGAATTGAGCTCTGGCGGGTTCTTGGGTCCCGTTTGAACCGCAAAGATCAGAGTGCCCCAGAGCCTCACCATTCTCAGCAACGGAGTTCGGTGGCACAAAATCCTGCACCTGGAGAGGTCACCGCGCGCCGCATGCGATACCAGCTCCAGTACCAGCATGTGCCAGCAAATGCTGGCCATGCACTTCACGCGCAATACGTTAGTAAGGCGGCGACTCCTCGGATCTGTTTCAAAGCACGGGATGTACCTGAAGGCAACTGGGCAGTTGTGAGAGCCGCAACTGAGCCAGGAAAAAACATCAACAGGTGTGCAACTATGAGTAGTGCTGAGCGCTCGGGCTGCTTGTCGAGGCAGTGTTCTCTGGCCCACAGTCCAAGACCTCACACGGAATCCCCACCCCCATGTAAATGGATCTAAAATGGTTCTGCAGGCTTTTCCAACTGGTGTTAGTTCCCCATCCCGCTGGCACCCGGCCTTGTGGATCTGAGTGTCAGATGTCGCCTTCCCGACACCAGAACCTGCTATACAGGGCTTGCCTTTCAACGCGACAAGGTGTCACTGGATGAGGCGACCACCCATGCTAAGACGTGGCCAATCTTGCCGATGTCCATGCGCAAGGGGGAGTTTGTGCTGAGGGTCAAGCAGCTTAACCGTTGGCGCTGATACTTAGCATGTGCCCCGACCTTTGGTGCATTTAGTGTCAGCCCATGGGCTTCCTCCGGCTGCTTTGCATCCATGCTCCCCTTTCCCAATCTTGAGTTCAACTACAAAAAGCGACTCAGCGCTTGGGAGCCCAAGGAGTAGGCGACGCCAGCTCAGGTCGGACCACGTCCGTCAGCCCTTTTGGGAGGTTTAGGGCCAGCACTTCTTTACATGGTCTTGTTCTGCGCGTGGACGTGAGGCCGCGCACTAGACTGCAACGGAAGATGTTCCCCAAGCATCGCTTCATTTTGCGCCGCGGCAAGATCCGTAACAGCTGGAGGCATGAAATCGTCTAAAGGAAGCTTCGCAAGAAACTGCAAAAATTCAAAACTAGTCAGATGCGCATTCACTGCCGGTACCGTGGAGGGACCCACGAAGAGGCTCCCACATCCACGCCACATGAAGACTCTGCTACGTTGGAGTTTCCATCGATGTGCGACCACGTGCACTCTCGATTGTGGCTGATGCAGACCCCTGAGGAAATTTCTGGGTGACACCAAATGTTTACTGGCACACGCGGACGCACTGTTGGACAGGCGCTGCCACGTTGATTGATCCAGGGAGACTCTGCAAAGTAGCGTTGGAACTGATGCGTACTGTAGATTCTGACTTTGCTGGCCGTCCTTTCCCATGACTGTCACATGCACGACCTCCAAGCAGAAACAAAACAAGATACAGTACAGCACATGTTTGGCGTTCGAGTTGTCCTCCTCAGATCACGAATCTGTCCAGCAGCGGAGTGAAACAATCAATTGCCTCGAAACCATCCGGGAGCTGCCCTAGCTCACCGCAGGGGGTACCAGGATCACCTGACATGGAATTCATATGGCCTTTGTCTACAACTTTGGTGATGGCGACATTATTTAACACCCTAAGCCCCCTTGTTTTCGAGCCACCCGACATCCTGGAGATTAATCGCAAGGTCGTCGACAAGAGTTCTCTCTACATACGATTTCTTCTGGTCGGCTTCGGGTAGATCCGGACATATCAGGCGAGTCGAGTTTTCGAGACCTGAAGCTGAACTCCGAAACGCTTTCGAGCTGGCTTCACTTCTCTGTAATCATCACAGCGCATGCTGACAGAGGAATCAGATCGTGGAATGCCTGAGGCTTGAAAGTGTGCTGGCCACAGGCCCTGAAGCACATGTCCTTCAACAACTTTGGAAACAGTTAGAGCTGTAGTTCGTTGTAAACCATTGTACTTGCAACTGCGGGCGTCCGAGCGATGACTCCGAAAGGCAAGACAAAAGCAAGCCCAGTGCATCAAGCAAGGCATGTGGAAGAGACATGAACCACATTTGCATGGTGGACTCAGGCACCGGCCCCGATGTACCTTCCAAAGGTGTGCCTGTGCTGCTGAGACCCAGCTGACCACTTCTAAGCAAACTAGAGACACAAAATCGCGCTTCAATTACAACAGCCTACTGCAGCTTTCTCTCTGTCTGCTGTGTCACAAAAACCACCCCCGCCCCCCATTTCCATACGCCCTCCGCGCCTAAGCCTCGCCACAAGAGAGCTCAAAAGCATGCGTCCCAACAGCAGCACAGCCTGCACAGCCATAAGCGGGGTCCTCACAAGGCCAGTATCGCAAAGCCACAAAGGGCTATCTTTCAATGCTCGCATCTGAAGAGCCGCTTCAGCTGCAATGGAACACAGTGGCAAGCGATCTGATGCTCGTGGCTGGACAACGGCACCAACGAAACTGAAAAAGCTTACAGTAGCAACTTGCCGTTTGCATCCCGCAAATTCACAACGTATGTCCCAAAAACACGAAAGGCAACGACACACACAAACCTGCACACTTGCCCTCATGCTTACCTCTCTACACAGCTTCGGTTTCACAAACATTCCTCAGCTGAACATGAACACATTGAACATGTGACTTCTTTCGCTGTGCGAAGACCGTGCGTCAATCTGCGACTGGATGCAGCAGCGGATATCCCAGGCGTGTGACTCTGGCATACCGAAATGATCAGCATCCGCCAGAGCTCGTCCTGGTCGTCGCGCTGCTTGGCAGTAGTGAATCGGGGCCACATACGCCGCAACTGGGAAGCGTCTTGACAGGTGCCGAAGGTGCCCGCGCGGCACCATTGGAGCCACGTAATCCACAACACTCACCTCAGAGAGTCGGAAGCGCAGTTGCATGAGGGACTGCAGCAGGCTCGGGGGAAGTGTCGACCACAGCAACACCTTAGAGATTTGGCAGGCTGACACGGGAATCTGCACCCACAACACCATGCACGAACAGGCCACATGTTGTCAACCTCATGGCTACGTCCACAGCAACCGTGGCTCCCAGGCTGTTTCCGTACAAAATAGTGCTGCCCTGGTTTCGGCAGAGTGCAGGGAAAGCCAAAAAGCAGGCGCAGGACGAGGACTGGGACACTCTGCAGGCATCTGATGCATTGGCAGGGTTCCTGAACACGGCCACGAGCGGCGCCGTCAAAGATGATCATTGCGCAGCTTGCGATCCCAGAGGAAGGGCGGCCTCATCCAAGGTGATGCTGGACACTGTGTTCGTTCCGTTCGGCCTGGCAGACCCAAGCCTGAAAGATTTAAGAAGATGTGCCTTTCTTCACAACAGCTCGACATGTTGCATGTCACCACAGCGTTCAGAGACGACCCGCAGCGTAGATTCTCCTTTCGTGGCGTCTGAAACCCAGCACTCAAAAAGCCGAGCTTTTCAGAGGGCCCTGCTGACAAGAAATCACAAAGACGCGTGCATCTGCTTCTGAGAGCGGTGCCAAGCGAAGCAATCCAACGCTCTCTTGGTCAGCGAGTGCAGTGATCAGAGGGGTCACGGCCAAGGCAGACTGCAAGAGCTGCTCGTCTACCCAAGCGAAGGCTGGAGTGCACCGCCTGACTCACCCAAGCGGCGGTGGCTAGAGGCTTCACTCACTACCCAAGCGAAGGCTGGAGGGAACGACCTGACTCACCCAAGCGGAGACTATGGCTGCCTTCGGGCCGAGATACTTTGTCTGAAAAATCATGTTCTCGGTCACTACGTTCCTAGTCCAACTTTAGTTGTCTGTTTCGACGACTTCCCGGCGCCAGGAGCCAAAGCTTCTGGCGACAAAAGCACCCCAGAAGAGTGGGCACTCTGTCTCTAGGAGTCTCATGGGGCCACAGTTGTCCAACGGCAGCCAAAGAATCGCAGACCTCAAGGCCGGAAACTTCAAGGAGCGGCGGGCGCAGAGGCGCTTCTGGCGAAGGCATTTTCGAGTCCAGGTTGGATTCGAGGCTCAAAGTTTAGAGCTGCTGTTTGGGGCTTGAGGAAGTTGAGGGCTGTGAAAAAACGAGGAAAAACCTCCTGCTGCTGCGCAGGGGATTCTCCTGGGGCTTCCCCTGTGAATACATCTCCGAACGCCGTATGCCGCAATCTGATTTTGAGATTCACGGTTTCTGCACATCCTGTCTAGTCTTGGGGCCGACTGGTGCGACCTGGTGCAGAACTGAGAATCTCAGCGTCATCTGTCAAGGGCAAGTGCAAGATGTTACTCGGCACGTTTCATGGTGAAAATGCAGCAGCCCAAGCTAATAGTCCGAACTGGCACCTTTAGCCATCACAAAATTCTGTGTGGTTGCCATTCCACACTCGGTCTTGCCAGCATCACGCGTGCAGATGGTTTGTGCGGCAGCAGTGTGATAGGGGGGCTGGAAAATGAGATGCATGGTTATGACTGCTTTGCGAGTGTCGTTACCAAACTTGCTTTTCCCATGCAGACACTGCGTAAAACACGTGTGAGTAGGATTGCAAAGAATGGCATTTTGGAGAGCGGCAGCGCAAGAAGTCACCCGCGCAGCGGCAGTTCGTGGGATTTGTCTGTGCCAAAGTCCAGGTACTACAGGTCCCGGGCGCTTTTTTTCTGAAGGACAACTGTTCTGAGACGCTACATCAGCCTACTTCTTAGAGTGGCCTAGTGACTTAGTGGCAACGTGTTCGGAACAACACGCGCCACCATCATACCTTTACTAAGCCTGAGGGGGTACACAAACCTGAAGCAGCTGTCTTCAAAGCAGTGGGACGTGGTCAGAAGGCTGCAGTCCGCCACACCCAGCTTTTACTTTGCCTGCAGTGAAACAAAAGCTGCAACATACTGACAACTGCAAGCGTGGCCAGAAGGCCGAGGACGTTCCCCGGCCCGGACCTCCAATCTGTGCAGACGAGCTGGAGCTCTCAGAACCGGCTGGATGCCAAACCAGGACTCTCCTCCTGCCCCTTCGAACGGTTCAGGGTGGCTCCGATGCGCTGGCA